TTCCCACTTTGTTCTGAAGGTTCAGCCCTCTGGGTGTGTTTGGGGTGGTCGTGGCAAGGATCTGTCCAACTTGGGTCTGGGTGGTGTGTGTCCTCCTGCACACACGGTGCCACGTGCACGTCTGGGCTCCAACTCCCTCGCGGTACCCCCCTCCCCCCATACCCCCGCCCCAGGACCGCCAGCCTGGCTGCTGGGGCTCAGGCTGAGTCCCTCCTGGTGAGCCTCAGATCTGCCCCCACCCCGGTTCTTTCCTTTGTGCTCTTCCTGGTGAGTTTTAGAAATTCCACCTTTCATCAACACACATTTTTCTTCTTGGGACAACTGGTCAGCGTGCCGCCTTGCTCGGTGGGTGCTCACCAGCTGCGTGCACCCCTGGTCTCTGCGTCCCCGTCTCCTGAGGGATGTGAGCTAGACGCTGCGGAGAGGCCTGTGCGTGGAAGGCAGACTTGGGCACTCTCCACCTCCCCGACCTCTGGCCCCACGGCAGGTGCGCTGCCAGGACCCGGCGCTCTGCCTGCTGTTGTCAGGAGCATCCTTCACCTGTTAGCACTGCCCGGCCTCTCCCTGCGAGTCTCACCGCCCCGCTGGGACCCGGACCTGGCTCGCATTAGTCCCCTCCTGCTTTGGGCCTGCTGGGGCGCCGAGCCCTGCACTGACCTCAGCCCTGTCCCCGGTGTTCTAGGAGGAGTCGCCTACCATCAAGTTTTCTTTCAAATACACCCTTTTCCAATATTTTTTCCCAACACCCATTGGAGACCTGGTCCCCCAACATCTGGAACCCACTTCGTCCCGAGTCTCGCCACTCGACTCGGCCGTCCCCATTCCTTGAGGGCGAGCTCGCCTTGCCCTGCTCCGTGCCACTGGTCACAGCGTCTGTCCTGGCCGCCGGGCTCCAGCCGCGGGCGTGGAGAAGGCTCAGGCCGGGAGGGCCCCATGGGCGGCACTGCCTCGCCCCCATGGAAACTGCTGAGCCTGGGTGTGGGCTGTGCCTGGGGTGGTCGGGTTAAATAGTTGGGATGGAGAAGCCGTCTGCACGTTGTCAGTCTGCACTTTTGCTGCGATATGGAAAGAAAGGGTCAGCTGTGTAACATTTTATCTTTAATCCTTTTTCTCTGCTTCAAAGGTGGAGAAGATAAAAATACTTCTGAGGAACGTGGATCTGATGGACATAAAGGTCGGATCAGTGGAGGAGTTCCAAGGGCAAGAGCACTTGGTGATCATCATCTCGACGGTAGGTGCCCTGTCCTGGGGGCCTCAAGAATCCGGGAAGGAACCCTGACCCACAGGTCGGGCTGCTCAGCAGGCAGAGGCAGCGAGGCTCCTCCCCACCCCCTGCTGCCTTTTTCCTTTTATTCTAGCCCTCACCCCAGGGTGGGGGTATTTGGATATATTTTTCCACTTTTTTTTAGAGGATGGAAGGGAAGAGCGGGGGTGGGAGGGGGAACATTGATGTGACAGAGACACTTCGATAGGTTGCCTCCCACATGTGCCCTGACTGGGGGCGGGGATCAGACCTGCCACCCAGTTCCGTGCCCTTGATCAAAATCGAACCCCAGACCCTCCCGTGCGTAAGCCGATGCTCTAACCACTAAGCCATGTCTGCCAAGGCTGCTTTTCTCTTTTTAACCAAAAATGAGGTCCCATGATGATGTTCAGTATTGCTGAGTGTGTCTTACATGCGAGAGTTTCCGTGCCGCGGGAACGTGAAGCCCGTGTTCCTGCCGTGGCGTTTCTAGGTGCGGTCGAACGAAGACCGGTTCGAAGACGACCGCTATTTCCTGGGCTTCTTGTCCAACTCGAAGAGATTCAATGTGGCCGTCACCAGACCCAAAGCCTTATTGATTGTGGTGGGAAACCCCTACGTCCTGGTCAGAGTGAGCTGCCGCCTGGGACAGGAGTCCCCTAAGGAGGGGGCCGGGGGTGGGGAGCTGCCCGCCTGCCCACTCTGAATCCTGTGTCCCCCCCAGGACCCCTGCTTCGGCGCATTGCTGGAATATAGTATCACCAATGACGCGTACACCGGGTGCGACCTGCCGCCCGAGCTACAGCACCTGCAGGGCTGAGCCCCGGCCTCCCGGCCTCCCCAGCCTCGCTCCGGCTCCGCTCGGGGCCGTGGCGACACTCTGGCACCGCTGCCATAGACACATGCTCCTCATAGAGCCAGGCTGCAGAGAGGCCCCTGCCCAGCCCACCTCCGGTCCCGAGCCTGAGCCCCAGCCCCGCGGGAGCCGGCGCACTGGCTGCCGCCTCCCACAGCTGAGCCGGGCCGAGGTGTGCAGCCTCCCTGCTCGAGAGCCAGGAGCCCCTGCTGGTAGGGAGGGCAGGAGCCCCTGTCTGCTGTGGTCACGGGGCCGCCTCCTGCTGTCGGCCACAAGCATTGATGCCTGCCCGGCCGTCAGCCCTGCCCAGCCCCTTCCTGGCACTGCAGTTACCACCCCGCCCATCACCAAATAAACCTCCGTGAGACCCTGCGTGGCTTTCCCCTCAGAGGGCTCCAGGTGGGGGGACAGTCACGCCTTCCTCCCGGGTCCTAGAGCCATGAGCTCTGCCAGGGCAGCTGGCCGGCCCGCAGAGGCGGCAGTGCCTGTGTCGGCCTCTGCTGTCCCCTTAGCCAGAAGCTGCCCTCGGGTGCTGACCCTTAGGGACCCGTTTCCAGGAGAGGCTGGGAATGTTCACACGTTGGGTAAGCCTGGGAACCAGCGCCCAGGGAGGGTGTCTCAGACCCAAGTCTGACCGTGCGGCCGAGGAGAGGTGCAGAGGGGCTGGAGCTTGGGCCTGGCCTCAGGGTGGCCCTTCAGGGAGCAGGGACCTGGGCTGGGGGACCACCCAGTGGCGCCTCAACAGCCATGTGATGGACAGTGAAGCTCGGACCCTCAGCCCGTCACAGCTAAGGTGTCTGGGGTCTGACCTGGTCTGTACCTGCCGCCCCCTGGGGTGGGACAGGGACCGCTCAGCTTCCTCCCCAGGTCGGCTCCTCACCATGCAGGCTGCGTGCCGCCCGCCTGGGGGGCAGAAATCACAGCTGTCCACCTGTGGGACCGGAGCACAGCGCCCCCCTCAGCCCTCAGAGCTCCGCTCCCAGCTCCCTCCGTCCTGGGGAGGGCTTGTGGCTGCCGCCTCAGGCAGGCAGCTGGGACAGTGAACGGGAAGCCCAGGCACCAAGGGAGGTTGGACAGGGTGATGGGAGATGCCAAGAGCCTTTCAGAGGCTGCAGAGCCCATGGGACCTTCCTGAGGGTCCCACAGAGGGCGTGGGCCAAGGCAGAGTGCAGGCCGGGTCCAAGGCCCGCCCAGGCCCCCAGTGCTCCTGGAGTACACGAGGCCCAGTGGCTGTGAACTCAAAATACCTGCTTCCTGTTGGCACGAAGGGAACAGGTTCTGGGGGCCCAGGCCCCAGACTGCCTGTGCCTGAGGATGGGGCTCTGAGGACGCCACACACACACACACACACACACACACACACACACACAGTGGCCCGGGGTAGGAACCTGGGGAGCTCAGCTCTCAGAAACGGTCATGCTTGGTCGCCTGCGTGGTGTCCCTGTCCCCCGTTTGCCTGGTGACTGGGTCACCGTGTGCCCTCACCACAGCAGCTGCCACCACAGCCTCCTGCGACTGGGCCTGCGGGGTGAAGGGAGACCCCAGAGCTGCCCAAAGACAGCGCCATGCCCCCCACAGCCACCCAGGTGCACAGGAAAGAGCTGTCTGGCCCGGAATCGGGCCCTGAACACTGTCCAAGGCCAAGGGCTGGGGCACCCAAAGGGATGGGGAGGGCAGCTGCCATGTCCACCCAGCTGGGCCGTGGGGCAGCACAACTTGGAGTTAGTGGCCGCAGGATGTCTGTGCTGAGTAATGGGGGGGAGTTAGGTCATCTGGGGGGGTCTGGGTTATCGGGTGGGGGTGGGGTCTGGCTGTGTGGGGTATCTGGGTTATGTTGGGTATTGGAAGCAGCCCACTGCCTTAGTGATTGGGGGGGAAGGTAGAACCTTTTAGACCCATAATGCTGTGGTCTTAGCCCATGTCACCCCAGGTAATTTTTTTAAGAAAACAATTATGGCCCTGGCACAAGCCATGCTCCCCCTTAGCCCCGTCTGCGCCCCCACCACCCACTCCTCACCGCACCCGGAGGCAGGGCCGCGGTGACCCAGGCCAAGTGGTGCTCAGACATGTTCGCTGTGGGACTGTGAGGGATCAATGGGGCTGGAGGGGCCTCGGGAGAATGGAGAGGACCCACGTCTGCGGAGACCTCTGTTCTGAGGGCGCCGCGGGATGGATGCGGGGTGTCGGGTGGGGGACGGAGGCCGGGAGGCGCGGGGGCCGGGCGCCCAGCCCGGGAGTACGCGGGCCGCGGGCGGGGTGCCGGGCGGGAGGCCGGCAGAAGCGGGCGGCCGCGGCAGGTGATGTGAGGCCGTGGTTCGCGGGGCACCGGAGGGGGCTGCGGGGGAAGACGCCCCAGCTGGGAAAGGGCGGCACCGCAGGACCAGGAGCCCGGTCCCCGTCCGCGTCCGGAGGGAGAGGAGGAACCGGTCCCCCGCGCTGATTCCTTCATTGAATTTGAATATTTCTGCCAAGTCACCGCCGGCACCGCATTCTGAGGGGGGGGGGGGAGGCGGAGCCAGGCGCCGGGGCCGCGGTAAACAGCCCCCTCCCCGCCGGGCGGGAGCGGGAGCGGGGCCGCCGCCCGGCCGGACGCCGCCGCCCCCGCGAGGACGCGCAGGCCTGAGCCCGGCGGGGGCGGCGGCCCGACCCCTGCCCGCGGGGGCGGCGGCGGAGCGCCTCTCCCCCGGCCCCTCCCGGCCCCTGTGCCCCCGTGAGCTCCCCCGGGCCTGCCCCGGCGCCCCTCCCCCCCCCCCCGAGCCCCGGCGCCCCCCGAGCCCCCGGAGCCCGGCGCCCCCTGAGCCCCGGCGCCCGCGCCCGCCCCGCGCACCCCCCGAGCCTCCAGCCCCCGGCGCCCCCTGAGCCCCCGGCGCCCCCCGAGCCCGGCGCCCGCCCGCGCCCCCCATGCACCACCTCCTGGAGCAGCCCGCGGACATGGCGACGGCGCTGCTGGCGGGCGAGAAGCTGCGCGAGCTCATCCTGCCGGGCGCGCAGGACGACAAGGCGGGCGCGCTGGCCGCGCTGCTGCTGCAGCTGAAGCTGGAGCTGCCGTTCGACCGCGTGGTCACCATCGGCACCGTGCTGGTGCCCATCCTGCTGGTCACCCTGGTCTTCACCAAGAACTTCGCAGGTGAGGCCTGGGGCCGGGCTGGTGCGGGCGGGGCGGGGCGGGGGCGCGGCCGCAAGGGCCGCCCGGCCACCCTCCGGGAGCCACCGCCGGGCCAGGCGAAGACGGCACGCCCAGGGCCTCCAGCAGCCCCTCCCATCGCCAGGCTCACTCGTGTTCCCGCTGCTCCGACCCCTCTGCTCCGCTCACTCGGACCTCGTCGTCCATCCGGGCACAGATGAGAGTGGGGCTGGCGCGGTGGGGAGCTCAGGAGGGAGGGGAGGAGGAGTGGCCAGGTGAGCACCCGAAGGCCTACAGGGGACGGAGAAGGGCAGAGCCGGGCCTGATGGCGGGGAGGGTCCGGGGAGAAGCAGGCCAGTCCTGCTCATCCACAGGGTGAGGCCTCCCCCAGGTGGGCACCCCAGGGTCTGGCTGGCCTGGGTGACCATGCGAGGACCCTCCCAGGCCCAGTGCCATGTCTGGGGGGGGGGGGCCTGTCCGTGGCAGAGGATTGGGGTTCCCCAGGAGGAGGAAGTGCAGAGTCGTCCCTGGTGACATTGCAACGTCCTTGCACTTGGCACCAGTCCCAGAGGCCTCACCACGCAGGGGACACCCAGTGTCCACGGTGCCTAACCCCACCCCAGCCCGGGGCACCTAGGACCAGCCCACAGCTGCTGGGCTGGCCGTCAGGTGTGGTGCTGCCCACCCACGGGGCGTCACTCGGGTGGGCCGGGTATTCGACTCCCAGGCTGCTGGACAAATCAGCACTCACGTGGTGCTCAAACCGCAGACTCTCAGTCTGGGGTCCAAAACCAATGTGCAGGCAGGGCGGGGGCCCCCAGAGGCTCCGGGGAGGGGCCCCCTGCTTCCTTCCAACTGGGGGGGGGGGTGGCGTCCTGGCTTCCCCGAGGCCGAACTGCCCAATCTCTGCCTCCTCTCTGGGCCTTCCCTCCGCCTGTCTGTGTCCAACTTCCCGTCTCGTGAAGACACCAGCCTCTGGGTTGGCATCCCCTCCACTGTGGCCTCGTCTGAACTGATGCGTCTGCAGAAACCCTGTTCCCGAATGAGGCCCGGCTCACAGACAGCGGGATGGAGACGACTACCTTTTGGGGGACAGTTCCCAGGAGGATGCCCTCAGGGGAGGCTCGGGACGGAGTCCAGCTCCGCCTGGCGGGGGTCCTCCTGGCTCTTGGTCCAGGCAGGCCCGCCGTGCAGCCACCACCTGGGCCTGCTGCAGGGTGGAGGGCCGCCAGGCACTGCTGGCCTCCTCGCCGGGAGCTGCCAGCCGCCAGGCCTCGGTCCCCGGCAAAAGACCCGTCACTCCTGGCCAGGGCTCTGTGAGTGACCCACTACATGGACCACTCGTCAGTGGACGGAGGGGTCAGACGGGTGTGTGGCCACCACAGGGGAGAGACTGAGTTCAAGGGTTACCCGGGTCCTTGGACACACGTGAGCCCGGGGCAGGGGACCAGCATCTCCTGAAACAGCCAAATAACGGGGTTCCAGCGTAGCCCAGGCGCCTCTCTGACCACGGCAGACACTGTCCCCCAGGCCGCTTGTCCCTTTTCAGAAAGGGCACACACACACTCACACACACACACACACACACACACTCACACACACACACTCACACTCACACACACACACACACACTTACACACACACACTCACACACACTCACACACTCACACACACACTCTCACACACACACACACTCACACACACTCACACACACATCTCACACATTCACACACACACTCACACACACATCTCACACATTCACACACACACTCACACACACTCACACACACACTCACACACACACTCACACACACTCACACACACACACACACACTCACACACACTCACACTCACACACACACTCACACACACACTCACACACACTCACACACACACACATCTCACACACACATCTCACACACTCACACACACACACATCTCACACACACATCTCACACACACACTCACACACACACTCAGACACACACACACACATCTCACACACACCCCAAGGACCGGCCGTGCACCCTCCCCCTCTCCAGGCTGGGCCTGAGCAGTGAGGCCCCTCCCTCCGGGGGGCCCAGCGCCCGGGGCCGTTGCTCAGGCCCCTGGGGGAGGCCAGCCCACGCCGCAAGCTCAGACTCAGTGGCTGGAGACGGTGCGATGGACGCTCACGGTCTGCAGCCCAGAAACCCGAAATGTGTCGAGGCTGGAGCGGAGGTGCCAGCGCCTCTGGAGGCTCCTCCCCTCGCCCACCCCGCCGCCTCCTTACACCTTATTTCTTCACAATTTTTTATTGAGTTCAGAGAGGAAGGGAGAGGGGGAGAGAGACAGAAACACCCATGAGGAGAATCACGGATCAGCTGCCTCCTGCGCGCCCCCTACTGGGGATGGAGCCGCAACCTGGGCCCGTGCCCTGACCGGGAATGGAACGTGACCTCCTGGCTCCTGGGTGGACGCTGAGCCACCGGCCGGCCCTTAAGCCATCTCTGCCCGAGCCTCCTGCCGCCCGAGAGGGTCCCTATGATCCCACCAGGCCATCGTCCCACCCGGACACCAGCCTCCCACAGCTGACCGGAGTGACCCGTCCCAGGTTCTGGGCAGCCGGCTGCGCCCGCACCGAGGCCTCCGGTGGGGGCTGGAAGGGCCGGTGAGGCTGAGAGGAGGGGCATGAGCCAGGCCCGGGGCTGGCTGGGCGGGGTCCGGCGGCCAGAGGAGCAGCTCGGCTCCCTGTGGGGGGCACTCCGGGGAGTGGGGGGGACCCGTGCACAGGCGCATGCGCAGCTCCGTGGTAAGGATGATGCTGCCTGTGGCCTGGCCACTCAGCCACGGGGTCTGCAGGGGAACCCAGGGCCACTGTCCTGGGGGGGAGGGGGGCTGAAGGGGGCCCCGGGGGGGCGTGGCCTGCCCCGCTCCTCTGGGGCCTGCTTTCCCGCCTTCACAGACCTGGCGGCCTGGGAGGAGGGCCTGGCCTGCGGGCTGGTCCCGGGTCCCAGGTGCAGTGGGCGCGGCCTGGCCTAACCCGGGGCAGCCCGCTGCTGGGGGGGGCGTGCCCGGTGTGACCCCGCCCCGGGGGACGTGGGGGCGGGCCGGCCGGGGAGGGGCCAGCGCCCCAGCGCCCTCTCCTCTCCCCCCAGAGGAGCCCATTTACTGCTACACCCCCCACAACTTCACCCGCGACCAGGCGCTGTACGCCCGCGGCTACTGCTGGACGGAGCTGCGGGACGCGCTGCCCGGCGTGGACGCCAGCTTGTGGCCGTCGCTGTTCGAGCACAAGCTGCTGCCCTACTCGCTGCTGGCCTTCGCGGCCATCATGTACGTGCCCGCGCTGGGCTGGGAGTTCCTGGCCTCCACCCGCCTCACCTCCGAGCTCAACTTCCTGCTGCAGGAGATCGACAACTGCTACCACCGCGCCGCCGAGGGCCGCGCACCCAAGATCGAGAAGCAGATCCAGTCCAAGGGCCCGGGCATCACGGAGCGCGAGAAGCGCGAGATCATCGAGAACGCCGAGAAGGACAAGAGCCCCGAGCAGAACCTGTTCGAGAAGTACCTGGAGCGGCGCGGCCGCAGCAACTTCCTGGCCAAGCTCTACCTGGCGCGCCACCTGCTCATCCTGCTGCTCAGCGTGGCGCCCATCTCCTACCTGTGCACCTACTACGCCACCCAGAAGCAGAACGAGTTCACCTGCGCGCTGGGCGCGGCGCCGGACGGGGGCCCGGCGGGCGGCGCGGGCCCGGCCGTGCGCGTGAGCTGCAAGCTGCCGTCCGTGCAGCTGCAGCGCATCGTGGCGGGCGTGGACATCGTGCTGCTTTGCGCCATGAACCTCATCATCCTCGTCAACCTCATCCACCTCTTCATCTTCCGCAAGAGCAACTTCATCTTCGACAAGCTGCACAAGGTGGGCATCAAGACGCGCCGCCAGTGGCACAGCTCGCAGTTCTGCGACATCAACATCCTCGCCATGTTCTGCAACGAGAACCGCGACCACATCAAGTCGCTCAACCGCCTGGACTTCATCACCAACGAGAGCGACCTCATGTACGACAACGTGGTGCGGCAGCTGCTGGCCGCGCTGGCGCAGTCCAACCACGACGCCTCGCCCGCCGTGCGCGACGCGGCCGCGCAGACCGTGGACCCGAGCGCCGACCCCGCGCAGCCCGACGGCGCCGCCGAGCCGCCCGTGGTCAAGCGGCCGCGCAAGAAGATGAAGTGGATCCCCTCCAGCAACCCGCTGCCGCAGCCCTTCAAGGAGCCGCTGGCCATCATGCGCGTGGAGAACAGCAAGGCCGACAAGCCCAAGCCCGTGCGCCGCAAGACGGCCACCGACACGCTCATCGCGCCGCTGCTGGACGCGGGGGCGCGCGCCGCGCTCCACTACAAGGGCGGCGGCGGCGACGCGGGCCCGCCCCCTGGCCCGGCCCCCGGCCCCGACAAGAAGCAGGCCCGCCACTTCTCCCTGGACGTGCACCCCTACATCCTGGGCGCCAAGAAGGCCAAGCCCGAGGAGGCCTCGCCCGCCGCCCTGCCCGCCTCCCGCAGCCAGGAAGGGGGCTTCCTGTCCCAGGCGGAGGAGTGCGGGCTGGGCCTGGCGGCGGCCCCTGCCCAAGGTAGGCAGCGGAACTGGGAAAGGCTGGGGGTGACCTGCGGTGGGGAGGGGGGAGAGGAAGAGAGGGGAGCTGGGTGGACGCAGGTGGCTCTGCAGGGCGAGTTCTGGCAGCACCTGGAGTCCTGTGGGCCAGAGCGCTGGAGGGCAGGGCAGGGCAGGGAGGGTGCTGGGAGGCCTGTGCTGCTGAGGGCCTGCCCCCTTGTTCCCACCCCCACTCCCGGCCGGTGTGGCTCAGCAGCTGAGCATTGACCCAGAAGGCCCCAGTTTGATCCCCAGCCAGGCCCAGGCCCAGGTTGTGGGCTCCATCCCCAGTGTGGGGCCTGCAGGAGGCAGCTAATTAATGATGTTTCCCCTCGAATCAATGTTTCTATCTACCCCCTCCCCCTAAAATATTAATTAAAACATATTTTTAAAAACAGAGGGGGAGGTTAGGGCATATGTAGGGAGGGGTTGGGATGGGATTGGGGGATGAGAACAATTATGTGATACCATAATCAGTAAAATAAAAAATAAAAACAGAGGGTCCGGCTGGACCCCACAGGCTCAGGAGGCTGAGGGAGAGATCAGCCCCTCCCGGAGGTTCCGGCTCCCGGGGGCAGGGGGAAGGGCCTTGGGTGACGATTTGTGTCCTCAGTTCCAGACGCTCCGCTCCCCGAGGACATCCTGTACCCGGCAGAGCCGGCCCGAGCTGTGCTCCCCTCTGGCGGCTCCTTCCACGTCTGCTCGCCCCCCGCGGCCCCCACCACGGTCCCTCTGTCCCCCGCCGGCCTGGGCAAGCCTGACCCCATCGCCATCCTGAGCCGCAACGCCACCCACCCGCTGCTGCACATCAGCACGCTGTATGAGGCCCGGGAGGAGGAGGACGGGGGGGCCCGGGCACCCCCAGACATGGGGAGCCTCATCGCCATCCCCCCGCCCCAGCAGATCCTCATCGCCACCTTCGATGAGCCGAGGACCGTAGTGAGTACCGTGGAGTTCTGAGGGCGCATGGCTGTCAGGGCCCCCCGGGGACCCTCTGCATGACCAGGGTACACCGCCGCCCCAGCACTGCCCGCACCAGCCTCCCACCCGCATGCCTAGGGGCCCAGCACCCGTCCTCCCCTCTGTGGCATTGTTGGGGTGCTGGCTGGGCCAGGGGCAGGCCGCGAGCACCCCGCCCCTGCATCAGGCGCTCGCTGTGAGACAAAGAGTTTATTTTCTTAGTTCGTTTTGTCTGGGCCCAGGATGCTGGCCAGAGGGATGGTCTGTGGGGACGTGTGGGTCCGAGGTGCACAGGAAGCTGGGGCAGGGCACCTCGGGCCTGGGACACATAGCCGCTGAGCCACACTGTGCTCCTGGCTGGCCCTGGCAGGGGCCTGACATCCTCGGGTCAAAGGTCAACATGCACTTTCTCCCTGTACCCCGACTGCCTGTACGTCACTATGGTTACTGTAACCCGCAAGTGTCTCTCTCCTCAGGAGACTTAGGGTGCGTTTAAAACAAAGGGTGTGTGTGTGTGGGCGTGGGCGTGTGTGTGGCCAGAGGGGGAGGCGCCTGTGTGCAGGTGGACACGGGTGAGCGTGCAGAGCACGCGTGAGTGGGCACCGGCGTGTGAGCCAGTGTGTGCGCGGGCCCAGGCGAGCGTCGCGGGTGAGGCCAGGCGCGGGCCGGCGCGGGAGCGAGGGAAGGAGTCCAACGCAATAACCAGTCCCCCCCGGGCGCAGCCCCTGGCCCCGGCCCACGCCGCGTCCCGTGGAGCCCGGGCCAGCGCGGCCGTCTGTCCCTATTACCTCAGCCACGGCAACAACGTGACAGTATGAACAGGTAGCACCGAGCATATCAATAAAGACTATTCTGATACGTCCGCGTCCGCGTGGTCCACGCTGCGGGCCTGTGCTCCGGCCAGGCCTCCTGGGTCCGACTGCATGCCGACCCCTGACCCATCCTTACAGCCCGGGGGCGCCCCTGCCTTCCAGGTCAGCCCTGGGGTGCGGCCAACCCACAGCGAGGCCGACGCTCCTGGTGGTCACGCCAGGGCCTCTTGCTAACTGACTGCAGGCGCCAAGGGACCAGGTGAGCCCTCCGGGGCGCTCAGGCTCCGTTGAGACAAGACAGGGGCCCAGAGGACGGGGCTGCTGGGTACACTCTACGGAGCAGGGGCTGCTGGGTACTCTCCGCTGAACAGGGCTGCTGGGTACACTCCGCGGAGCAGGGGCTGCTGGGTACTCTCCGCAGAACAGGGGCTGCTGGGTACGTTCCGAGGAGCAGGGGCTGCTGGGTACACTCCGCGGAACAGGGGCTGCTGGGTACACTCCGTGGAGCAGGGAGTGCTGCTGGGTACACTCCGCGGAGCAGGGGCTGCTGGGTACACTCCGCAGAGCAGGGAGGGCTGCTGGGTACTCTCCACAGGAGCAGGGCCTGCTGGGTACATTCCGCGGAGCAGGGGGTGCTGCTGGGTACACTCCGCGGAGCAGGGGCTGCTGGGTACTCTCCGCAGGAGCAGGGGCTGCTGGGTACGTTCCGCGGAGCAGGGAGGGCTGCTGGGTACACTCCGCGGAGCAGGGGGGGCTGGGTACACTCCGCGGAGCAGGGGCTGCTGGGTACACTCCGCGGAGCAGGGGGGGCTGGGTACACTCCGCGGAGCAGGGGCTGCTGGGTACTCTCCGCGGAGCAGAGGCTGCAGGCAGGACCGGGAAGGCGCCCGGCGGAGGCATCCAGGCTGTGGCCTTGAGAGGCAGCTAATACCAGAGGGTCCAGGGCAGGGTCTCCCATCACCAGGCCTAAGATTCGGGCGGGGATAAAAGGGCCCTGGGTAGAGCCACACAGCACGTGGCCCTGGTGCAGGCAGGTGGCCGGCAGTGGGCCGAGACCTGCAGGCAGAGCAGGCAGGCGAAGGCCTGGAATGGCGGGGGCCCCGCACGGGCAGACCTGGCCTGGCCTGGAGCCCCTGCACCCACCCAGCGGCCAGGAGCTGGGCAGGTGCCCTTCCCGAGCCGGGTTGCCGGTCGTGGGCAGGCTGCAGCCCACAGGGTCTGCAGTGGGTTTGCTGTGGTTCAGGTGTGGGCGGGGTCAGGGCAGGGGCGCTGAGAAGACTGTTTGGCTCCGGGTCTCTAGGAGGCAGGGCAGCACCGGGCCGGGCGGGGGCAGGCGCAGGGTCCTCCCTGTGGTCTCATCGGGAGGAACAGACGGGGAGCAGTGAGGACGGCAAAGGGAAGTGTCGGGGCTCCGGGCACAGGGCTGCCCTGGCTGTCGGGGTTCTGGCCCCGGGTGATGAGGGCCGGTGGGGGGTACGCGGCACCTCCACTGGTCCATGGAAGGGGTCCGTGTGCCCACAGGACTTGGCCCCAGGCGCACCCCTCCCCTCCGGGTCCCACACTGGCACCCCGCTTCATGGAGACAAGGGGGTCTTGGGGACCCGCCAGGGAACACAGGTCATGCAGGCCTCAGTGTCCACATAGCCACGGGCCCCTGCCCATCCTCCCGTAGTCCTCACCACCCCACACCTGCACGTGTGGAGCCCAGCTTGTCCCCTGGCGGCCGCCTGCTGGCCCTGCCCCCCGGGGTGACTCCACTCAGTGGAGACGTCCCGAGTCCCGCAGGCGGAGTGCCACCTGAGCACAGGGCCGCCATCTCCACGGCCGGCCAGTGAGCTCATGGGGCGCCCACGGATCCAGGCGGGGCTGGGGACCCCTCCCGTGGGCTCTGCATGGGCCAGGCTGTCCCCATCTGCCCCCTGGGCCAAGTTCCACCCAGAAGGCATGTCTCTCAGGGTCAACGCCAGGCCCTTGGGGAACAGGGACATGTGCTGAGTCGCTGCCCACGGAGGCGGCACCTCACTGCAGGGGCGGGTGGGCACCATCCCCCCCACAGGCCGGGGAGGCACAGGGCAGCCTCCAGCTCCCGGCAGGGCAAGTGGGGAGGAGAGGCTGGGGAGACGCGGCAGCCCCCCTCAGCCAGGCCTCCGCCCGCCACGCCAGCCCCGTGTGGGCAGCCTCTCAGCGCGCTCCGGCCCCGGCCGAGTGGGCCACGGCACACCGCCTGGCAGCACCGTCCCCCCGTGGAGGGGCCCAGGGGCCGGGGCAGTGGTGGCCTGTGCCGCACTCAGAGCCAGTGAGAGCCGGCAATGCCCGGCCAGAACAGGCAGCCCTGGGCCAGGAGCCGGGGGAGAAGGGCCAGGGCACCGGCACTCAGTGGTGGGAGCCCGGGACTCCCCCTCCCGGCTCAGGCTCCAGGACTGGGGCAGCTCCTCAGGAGCCGGGCTGTCTTCCTGGCACCCGAGGGGACCCCGCACCCACTCCTATGGCCGGACTGTACCCCCCTCGCGGCCTGGCGGAGGGAGGACCGCCTGCTGGGGACCAGGGTGGCCTCCCCCTCCACCCTTCTGTAAGTGGAGCCCCGCGCACCGGGGTCAGGGGGCCCCTGGGCCGCAGGCAGCGGGCAGGAGCTGGGCGGGGGGGGGGGGGGGGGGACAGGCGCGCCCCCCGTAGGAAGCCCTCACCACACCCACCAACTGCAGAACTGCAGCGCCCGGTCCCGCAGCGGATGACTCCCCCGAGAGGGGCGAGACCGACAAGGGAGTGGAGGGGAAGGCTGGGGCTGCCTCTGGACAGTGGGCGGGGAGGCCGGGAGGACTGGGCGTCCCACATCCACCCTGCGCCCCGAAGCCGCTGGGCACCGCCCCTCGTGCCTTGGGGTCAGAGGGAGGTAGGGCCCCTCCGTTGGCAGCGGGCGCAGGGCTCCAGCCCGGCCGCGCGCCAGGAGACCGGGTCCCCAGCCAGAGTTCTCCACTCTTCGCATCCCCCTCTGGGTCGCCCCTTTCGTCTGTACCATTGGACGCAAAGCCACCCTGTGGACGCTGTACGAACAGCATTCGCATTTGACAGACTGGGACCTGCCATCAGAGAGAATTTAAGGGCTTCGCAAGGCCTTCCCGCCCTGTCGGCCGGCCGGGGACTCGAACTCGCCTCACGGTGGCCGCCGCCGGTGTCCCAAGACCCTAGTCTCCGGGGCGGAGCGACGCTTTCCCGCACGCGGCCTTCTGGGAGTTGTAGTCCGCGGGCGCACGCGCGCGGCTCCCTGGGAAATGTAGTCCGCTTGTGCGCCGAGGAGGCGAGCGGGCGGCGTGAGGAACTGCGCTTCCCGGCATGCCGCGCGCTCCGGGCCCGGCCTCCGGCCTGTCCGGCCGCCACGCCCCGCGGCCCCGGCCCGCCCCGCCCCGTCCGGTGGGGCTACGAGCCGCATGGAGGCCGGCTGAGGAGCGCCGCGCGCCCGGGTACGTCGCGCGGGCCGGCGGCGGGGGTCTCGGGCCCGGGCGGCGCGGCCGGGCGGGGCGGGGCCGGGCGGTGGGGCCGGGGTCTCCGGGTCCCGCGCCTCCCGGCGGCGGCCTGGCGCGGGCGGAGCGGGGCTGCCATATGGCGGGGGAGCCCGAGGGGCCGCTGACAGCCCGGCCCCGCGCGTCCGGGCAGCCGCCTGTCGGGGTAACTCGCGCGCCGCGAAGTCCGCGTCTTTGTGGGACCCCCGCGAGGCGCCCCGCGGCCTCGGGGCCGGGCGGGTGCAGGGGCCCAGCTGCCCGCCCCGGAGGGCCCCCGGCTCCGCGCTCGGCCGGGCCTCCTGCTCCTGCGGCCGCCCCCCCCCCCCATGTGCCGGGCCCGGCTCTGGGTCCGGCGGCCGCGGGGCCGTGTCCGAGGCCGCGGCTGCGGCAAGTCGGCCGGACAGGCCCGGGCGGGCGGCGGGCGGGGGCCGCGAGGTGGTCGGTGCGGCAGCAGCACCGGGGCTTCCGGGAGGGCGGCCGGGGAACCAGGAGCCACGGAGGCCCGGGCTGGGGCCGGCGTGTCATCACCGCGACCCGCGCGTCCACACCCCCGGGCCGGCCGCAGCGCCCGGAAGCAGCTGGCAGGGAGGCCGCCGTCGCAGTCCTTAGAGGGAAGGGGAGGAGGCCGGCGCTCAGGCCACCTGTCTCCCGCTGGAGGCCTACGATCGAGGGGCCGGCTGCTGGGGGCGCCGGGGAGACCCCCCTCCCGGCTGCAGGGGACCAGCTTCTGGGCCTCTTCTCAGGGCCCTCATCCCACCACCCCCCCATCTGAGCCTGACCACCTCCCAGGAGCCCCTCCTCCTGACACCGTCACGTTGGGGCTAGGGCTTCAGCCACGTGAACCTGGGAGGGGACAGCCAATGGCCTGTCCTCACCCCGTGAACTGTCTGACAGCCTCAGGTTCTGCCCTACAACCGGGTAATCCCCACGCACACATAGGACACGTCACCTGTTGCTCTGATTGTGTCCCTGGTCTACACACCACGGTGGGTCCCTACCACACATGGGGTTCTTCCCAATAGATAGATAGATAAATAGATAGATGTCAGAGAGGGAGTGGGGGAGAGAAAGAAACATCAGTGATGAGAATCATGGATCAACTGCCTCCTGAACTCCCCACACTGGGGATGGAACCTGCAACCAGGGCATGTGCCCTGATTGGGAATCGAACCCTGACTGAGCCGTGCAGGCCAGGCTCCCCCTGCCTTCTGAGCCAGCCCCTCCCACGGCGTACTTGACAAGACAGGGCCCTCGGGTTGTCAGGATCTCCCTCAATGTGGGGCTGTTTTCCGAGGCGTGTGGGTCTGTCTGCTGCTGTCCCCTGGCAGTGCTGTGACCCTGTGTGGCGGGCACTTCCGTGTTCGCTTCTCGCCTGCGGGTCTGCCCAGCAGCGGGAAGCCGGAGAGGCCGAGTCATGGGCCGAGGGACGTGTGTGAGGCGTGTGTGTGGCGTGTGTTTTGTAGCCTGGAGAGGCCCTGCTGTGAGGACTGGGCGGCCGGAGGTAGGAGTCCGTGCTGGTACACTCGTCCAGCCAGCCACAGGGAGCTGCTGGCAGGTAGCAAACGAGCCCACCTGTTGGCCGGACGGACTGGCTGGGGCGGCCCGCTCCGCAGCTCCCTCTGACAGCTGTGCCCAGCACCTGCCGGACTGTGCTCCGTGGACGGGGGCGAGAACGGGTCAGGCAGAGGCTCCTGCTGGCCGGGGCTGGCTCTGGAGCCTGATGTGGGAGGGGTCAGCAGTGTTTGCTGTCCCTGCAGCCTGCAGCCCCAGGGAGCTGGTGGGACACAGGGACCCCTCCCCCCTCCCCGCAGCAACGTGGGTGCAGGGAGGAGGCTGGGCCCGGCGGTCCACGGGCTCGGCCCTGTGTCCCTCCGGGGTCCAGCCGCACAGATTGGAAGGTGCGGATCGGGGGGGGGGGGGGGGGATGGCGGGGCGGCAGCTAATGACCCGTCGCCTCTGGCCTGCGTGGCATCGCCAAGGCCCTGCGGGAACCCAGCGTAGGAGGTGGTGCTGCGTGCGATGAGGCCAGACGGTGCCTCGGGCTGGGATGGGCTCCGGGAAAGGGGACCCGGGTCCTGCTGCCGCCTCCCTCTGGGCGGCCGTGGCTGTGGCCTGAGGGGCTTGCCTGCCTGGCCCCTCTGGCACTGGCTTCCTCCTGGCGTCAGAGGGTGGTTTGGCCAGGCTGAGGCGAGGAAGCTGAGGGCAGAGCCGGCCCGGCCCTGTGGCCCCCGAAGGCTGGGGGTTGGAGGCGCCATGGGCCCCGTTGGGTGGCTGAGCACAGTGGTTTCCCGAGCTGTTTCAGTCCTTGTGCTGCTGGGAAGGGAGAACAGGCTGCCTCCCTCCGGGGTCTGACCGCCTCCCTCCTCGCCCCAAGGCCCAGCTTCCTGTTTCTGTGGGGGCGGTGCCTCTTCGGGCAGAGCTGTGTCAGGCTGAGTTGTGCCTGGGAAGCTGGAGGAGGAGCTGGGAGGGGCGAGGCCCAGGTGAGCCGGCCGTGGCCAGGTGCCCGTGGTGCTGCGCTGCTTCTGGCAGGGACACCCCGGGGGAGGCCAGGCCAGACTCGGCCCACCGGGCTCCCTTCCTGTCCCAGCTCTGACTGCCCCCTCCTCACTGGCTGCCCACCCCGTCGTTCCTCTTCCTGGCCTTCTCGTCCTCGGGACCGGCCGCCCCTTCCCGTCAGCCCAGGCCCCTCTGAACACCCTGGACGGAGCCACCCTGCCCGGCCTCTCCACCTGCCCAGACAGCGCCTCCCTGCAGGGGAGGAGTCAGCACTGAGGCAGGGACAGAGCTGACACGGTATCATGCTTATTCTACTCTCTGTTTTTCCTTTTTTAAAAAACATTTTTTTATATATTTTTATTTATTTCAGAGAGAAAGGAAGAAGGAGAGAGAGAAACATCAGTCAGCTGGTGGGCTCCTCCTGCACCCTTACAGCAGGCAACCCGGGCCTGTGCCCTGATGGGGAATCGAACCGTGGTCTCCTGGTTCACGGTCGACCTCAACCACTGGGCCGTGCCGGCCCGGCTGTTTCCTGTTTGTCATAAAGTTCTGAGCTGAACCTGAGCGTCATCCTCGCTCGCCAAGGTGGCAGGTCTGGTCCTTGGCCAGGGCGTTCACAAGAATCAGCCAGTGAGCGCATCAGTAAGCGGGGAGCAGGTTGATATTTCTCTCCCTCTCTCTGAAATCAATAAATAAATTTTAAAACTTAAAAAATAATGAGCCCTACCTGGTGTGGCTCAGTAGATAGAGCCTTGGCCTTTGGACTGAAGGGTCCTGGGTTCGATTTCGGTCAAGGGCATGTACCGTGGTTGTGGGCACATCCCCAGTAGGGGGCATGCAGGAGGCAGCTGATTGATGTTTCTAACTCTTCTTCTCCCTTCCTCTCTGTGAAAAGTTAGTAAAATATATTTTTAATAAAATAGTGAGTGTTGGCCCGTCTGGCCCTGGCCGACAGGCTGGGAACCCCACGCCTCCAGCCGCAGCCGTCCCTTCCGTGGCAGCCCAGTCAGTCTGGTGTCTGCAGCCTCGTGGGTCTGGCCAGCGTTCTCCCTTCCTGGGCCTGTGCGGCCGCCAGTCCGGGCAGCGGGAGGTGGGGCGGCAGCCCCGGGTGCAGGACCAGGCTTCCGGCCAGGCCTGGGCGCAGGCTGGCTGTTGCTCATATGGCGGAGTCTCCACCCTCTGCGCCCGGCTGGGACCCTGTGGCCGGTGATGTTGGTCCCACCCAGGACCGTTCTTGACAACGGACCAGACCCCGTGCCCTGACCGAGCCCCCCGTTCCCCACCGAGCCCCCTGCACGGCCTGGGCTCCGGTGAGGACGGCCCTGTCTCCTCAGGCTCCCTGGTTGGTGCAGAGCCCCCTGCAGCCATGGAGGAGGAGGAGGAGCAGCCGGCTCAGGAGGTGAGGCCCAAGGGGGCGGGGGCGGGGCCAGGGCCAGGGCGTGGCCAGTGTCTGGGGGAGCTGTTCCCAGGGGGGCAATGGCCACGCAGAGCTCCTGGTCCCACGGGAGCTCCTGGCCACACCGGGTGCCTGAACGGGGTGCCTGTCTGGTCGAGTGGATGTCTGCGGCTCAGGCAGCCCCCAGGCAGGGGGTCCCCAACTCAGACACACCCCTTCCCTCCGCAGACCAATGCGGACCCCGCGGAGACCTCGGCAGCTGCAGAGGTGGCGCCCAGGGTGCCTCCCGAAGAACCCCAGAACCTGTGTTCCTGCTCCCGAGACCACGCGGTGCTGGCCGGCAAGGGGGCGCCGCGCCCGGGTTTGTGGATGGGCCCTCTGCTGGGGTGTGGGGCTCCCAGCCGTGGGGGGCGGCTGTGGGTGGGGAGCTGCATGTCAGAGCCCTCCCTGTGCTCCCCACGGGGGCGTGGGCACCCCTCACTGAAGAGGGGACAGGGCTGCACACCTGGGACCTCTCCCCGGGACCCCCCCCACCGTCTCCGGCCCTCAGCGGAGCGGCCCGTGTCCTTGCAGCGGACGCGGACGCCTTCCACCTGCTGCTGGAGATGAAGCTGCAGCGGCGGCGTGCGCGGCCCCGGCTGCCGCGCACGGTGACCGAGCTGGTGGCCGAGGACGGCAGCCGCGTGTACGTGGTGGGCACGGCCCACTTCAGCGACGACAGCAAGAGGGACGTGGTGAAGGTGACCGCCCGGGGCGGGGCGGGAGGGGGCGGGGCGGGAGGGGGCGGGCTGCGGGGACAGTCAGTGACGCCCGCCCGCAGACCATCCGCGCGGTGCAGCCGGACGTGGTGGTGGTGGAGCTGTGCCAGTACCGCGTGTCCATGCTCAAGATGGACGAGCGCACGCTGCTGCGCGAGGCCAAGGAGCTCAGCCTGGAGAAGCTGCAGCAGGCCGTGCGGCAGGTGCGTCAGGGCGCGCCTCGGCCCGCCCGCCAGCCCGGGCGGTCACCCTGCTGGGCCCGGGCCCTGGGTCCGCCCGTGAGCCCGTGAGCCTGGGCCCCTGGGCCCACCCGTGAGCCCGGGCCCCTGCTCTGCCCGCCCGGGCCCCTGGGCCCGCCCGTGAGCCTGGTCCTGCCCGTGAGCCTGGGCCCCTGGGCCCGCCCGTGAGCCTGGGCCCCTGGGCCCGCCCGTGAGCCTGGGCCCCTGGGTCTGCCCGTGAGCCCGGGCCCCTGGTCGCCGGACCCAAGGTAGACCCCGCCTCTGGTCCACACCGGGAGCTGGCCCGTCCAGCTCTGCCTGTCCAGGCCCCTGCGCCCTCTCCCTCACCGAGGGTCTGCCAGGAGGAGGTGGTGGGGACTCTGAGCAGGTGTGGGGGGAGAGGGTCTCAGGGTCGTCCTGCCCTCGGCACTGTGCTGGCCGTGGCAGTGGCGTCCTGGGCTGGGCTGGAGGGAAGGGGCGTCCAGGGCAGGGCCAGCAGACCGTCCACCTGCAGCCCTGGGTGGCCTGCCCTGGGCGGCCCCCGTGGCGGGGACCGCGGGGCCCACTAGGGCCTGGCTCAGGCCCGCGACCTCTCTCCGCAGAACGGGGTCATGTCGGGGCTGATGCAGATGCTGCTCCTGAAGGTGTCGGCCCACATCACGGAGCAGCTGGGCATGGCGCCCGGCGGCGAGTTCCGGGAAGCCTTCAAGGAGGTGGGCCTGGCTCGGGGGAGGGCTCGGGGTGGCCCCGGGGCCTGGGCTCCCCCCGCCAACCCCCCTCTGCCCAGGCCAGCAAGGTGCCCTTCTGCAAGTTCCACCTGGGAGACCGGCCCATCCCCGTCACCTTCAAGAGGGCCATCGCCGCGCTCTCCTTCTGGCAGAAGGTCAAGCTGGCCTGGGGCCTGTGCTTCCTGTCAGACCCCATCAGGTAGGGCCTCGCCTCCTGCCAGCCCGGCCCAGGATGGTGGGCAGTAGCCCGGGCGACCCCCAGAATGACCAGGGGTCGGCCCACCCCGCCGTGCGCAGGGCCTCGTTCTGCTCTGCGGCTGAGCCTCAGCTCCCAGCCCCCCAGCCCCGCCTCCAGCTGCCCCCACCCCCACCCGGCTGGCACCTCCCTCCCCCCCCAGCAAGGACGACGTGGAGCGGTGCAAGCAGAAGGACCTGCTGGAGCAGATGATGGCGGAGATGATCGGCGAGTTCCCCGACCTGCACCGCACCATCGTCTCGGAGCGCGACGTGTACCTGACCTACATGCTGCGGCAGGCCGCCCGGCGCCTCGAGCTGCCCCGCGCCTCCGACGCTGAGCCCCGCCAGTGCATGCCCTCCGTGGTGGTGGGCGTCGTGGGCATGGGCCACGTCCCCGGCATCGAGAAGAACTGGACGACCGACCTCAACATCCAGGAGATCATGACGTGAGTGCTGCCGCCGCCGGCGCCGAGCGGGCGGGGGGGGGGGGGGGGCACCGGGCTGGGGGCACACGGAGCCAGGCCCAGCCCGCCCTCCCTCCCCAGTGTGCCGCCGCCGTCCATCTCCGGCAGAGTGTCCCGGCTGGCCGTGAAGGCCACCTTCCTGGGCCTGCTGGGCTACGGCCTGTACTGGATGGGGCGCCGCACCGCCAGCCTGGTCCTGTCGCTGCCCGCCGCCCAGTACTGCCTGCAGCGGGTGTCCTCGGCCCGGCCGGACCCGTAGGAAGGACCAAGGAGCCACCCGCTGAGTGGCCGCTTGTGGCTGCTCCCCGTGCCGAGGGCGCGGGCTGGCCCCAGGAGCTCGCCTGCCCCCCCCACCCAAATAAAGGATCATTTAACTCTGAGCGAGGCTTCCCCGCTCCCCAGACGGTTCATAGCTCGTGGGCGTCAGGCCAGGGTCGGCGTGAGCTGCATCCTGCTCCCTGAGCCCAGCGGTGGGCGTGGGGGCCCGGCTGCCAGCCCCTCCCTCACGTGCCTTCGCCGGTGCCAGTGGCAGGAGCAGCCGCAGGCTCTGCCCCGGGCCCGGGAGCATCGCCCCGGGGGAGCGAGGGGGCCAAACACAGCAGCCGGGCGCTCGCCTGCAGAGATGGTGTGTTTTAGGCTTTTTAAATTTGTGAAATTTTTTACTCAGGTAATTTTAACTTAAAAGAAAACAAACTGAAGCAAATGTCAGGAAATTCTCGCCTTAAATCTGGTTGGGACAGAGGGTGGCTCTTCCCTGGTCTCGGTCCTGAGGGTGAGCGTGGGGCGGTTCAGCCTGGCCATGGGCGGACACCCCTCCGCCCGGGAGCAGCGTGGGAGCCCGCCGCTTTGGGGGCTGAGCCTGCTCTCTGTGCGTCTGGTGGGGCCGGGTCTCCCGGCCGTGGCAGATGGTGTGTCCCCAGGGCTTGCCGGTTTGCACGCATGCCAGCAGGTGCCCCCATCCCCGCACGCCCACCTCAGTGGTACAGAGGCCGAGCCGGCCCACCCAGCACCTCCGCCTCGGGCACCACCCGTGTGTCAGTCGATCCTGTTGTGTTTATGGCGTCGCGTCCCTGCAGCCGGTCTGGCCGCCTGTGATTGTGTCGACAGTCAGTGCTGGGCCCGGAGCCTCGGCTGCCCTGTCCTTCCTGTCCTCTCGCTTGTGTGCGTGTTCCTCAGAAACAAATAAAAGCTAATTTTTGAAGCTCCTGTTTTGTGAAATGTGTGACAATGGACTCAGGCGACCAGGGAGGGGTGCTCCCTGGGCCGTGGCGGGGGGAGCCACGGGGAGGGACACGGCGGGGAGCGGCAGAGAGGTCCACGGGGCCGTGTTAGGGAGGGGCGGTGCCGTGACGGTGGGAGGACCTGTCAGGGCAGGGCCAGCTCACCCTCATCCTAAGGGACCACCATGTCCAAAGGATAAGGTGCCTGAGATGGTGTCCGAGCTGAGGAGATGGGGTACGGTCTCCGGAGGAGGTTCCACTGCCTGCTGGGTTCTTGGGGAGCCTGTGGGGGGCTCTGGTCCAGGCGCCCAGAGAGCACTGTGCCTTCCCGGGTGCCAGCCCCTGCCCTCAGCGGCCACAGGAGAGAACTCGGATGGATGAGCACGGGCTTCCAGAGGTGAGACCACCAGCTGGAAGGAGCCGGAACCCGGGCATGGAGGGCAGGGGGTACTGTGCGTGGATCACTTGTAAAAACGGAGAGCTTACTGTCCATGGCTGGCAGGAAGGGCTGGGCCCGGCAGCTCACCTTCATCCTCAGACCTCACACCTGGCACAGGTGTCACCGAGTGGTTCACGGTCAGGAAAGACGGGGAGAAGCCTAAACATCCCTCAGGGAACCCACAGAGAAAGACGCCCAGGGTGCAGCCTCAAGGTGGGTGTAATCACCTCATCACACTGGGCAGGAGCTGTGAAATGTTGAATTTGTTGCGATGCTAGTTTTTGTTAAATTGAGAAGAGCCGAAATCGGTTTAGCTCAGTGGTAGAGCGTCGGTCTGCGGACTGAAAGGTCCCGGGTTCGATTCCGGTCAGGGGCATGTACGTTGGCTGTGGGCACATCCCCGGTGGGGGATGTGCAGGAGGCGGCTGGTCGATATTTCTCTCTCATCGACGTTTCTGGCTCTCTATCTCTCTCCCTTCCTCTCTGTAAAAAAATCAATAAAATATAAGTAAATAAATAAATAAATAAATAATGGTGCCTTAAAAAAAAAATTTGAGAAGAAAAACAAAAGTTTCCACTTTTTCCAATAGCACTCTTCCTTCTCTTGGAGAGGAGGGCACATGGGCCAGGCTGCCGGACCCTGGGCTCTCTGGGACGCCCATACACAGGTGGTGGGACAGCGACAACATACAGACTGGTCTTTGAGAAATGCCACAAAGACTACAGTTTAAGTAACCCCAACCTTAACCCTAACCCTAAACTCTAACCATAATCCTAAACTCTAACCCTAACCCCAACCCCTAACACTAACACTAAACTATAGCCCTAATCGTAAAGCTAATCTCCAACCCTGACTCTAACCTCTTACCCTAACCCTAAACTCTAACCATCACCCTAAACTCTAACCCTAACCCTAATGCTAACGCTAACCCTAAATTATAACCCTAACTGTAAAGTTAACCTTTAACCTGACTCTAACCTCTTATCCTAACCCTAAAGCTAGCCTCTAACCCTAAACTCAAAATTAACCCTAATCTCTAAACCTAACCACTAACCCTAGCCCTAACCCTAAACCCAACCCTATTCCTAAACTCTAATCCTAATTCTAACCTCTAACCCTAACACTAAACCTAAGCTCTAACACTAATGCTAACCCTAATCCTAATCTGTAACCCCAACCCTAACCTTAAACCCTACCTTAAATTCTAACCCTAACCTTAACCTCTAAACCTAACCCTAACTTATACCGTAATGTGAACCTCTAACCCAGAATCTAAGTTCTAACCCTAACCCAAACCCTAAACACTAACTTTAATCCCAATCCTTTCCTCTAACCCTATATTCTAACACTAAGACCCAACCTTAACCTCTATCCCTAACCCTAACCCTAAACCTGAACTCTACCCCTAATTCTAACCAAAAGCTCAACCCTAACCCCAACCCTAAGGTATAACCATAACCATAACTATAACCATAACCCTAAACTTTAACCCTAAATTCTAACACTATGTTCTAATCTGTAACCCTAACCCTAGCCCTAACCTCTAACCCTAGACCTAACCTTTAACCCTAACTCTAACCCTAATCTCTAAACATAACCCTATTCTTTAACCCTAAGCTATAACACTAACACTAGGCTTAAACTCTAACCCTAAATCTAATTTCTAAGCCTAACCATAAACCTAACCCTAAACTCTAACCTCTAATTCTAAGCTCTAACCTTGATCTTTAACCCTAAACTCTAGTCCTAACATTTAACCCAAACCCTAAGCTCTAACCCTAACTCTAACCTATAACTCTGATTCTAAACTCTAACCCTTACCTAAGCTCTCATCCTAACATTTAACCCTCTGCTCCAACCCTAAACTTTAATCCTAATCTCTAACACTAAACTCCAACCCTAACACTATCCCTAAGCTATAACCCTAACCCTAGCCCTAGCATCTAACCCTAACACTAAGCTCTAAACCTATTCCTAACCTTAACCTCTAACCCTAACCCTAAATTCTAAGCCTAACCCTAATCTCTCTAATCCTAACCCTAAACTATAATCCTAACACTAACCTATATCACTACTGTAATGCTAACCTCTAACCCAGGCTCTAAGTTCTAACTCTAGCCCTGAACTCTAATCCTAAACCCAATCCTAAATTCTAACCCTAAATTCTAACCCAACCCAAATCTTAACCTAACTTCTAACCCTAACCCTAAACTCTAATCCTAACTTCTAATCCTAAAATCTAACTCTAATCCTAACCACAACCCTAAGCTCTAACCATTACCATAACCCTAACCTCTAACCTTAAACTCTAACATTACCCTAAACTCTAACTCTTGCCCTAACTCTAAGCTCAAACCTTAACCCTAACCATAACCATGTCTAGCTCTAAGTTCTAACCTTTAACCCTAACCTTAATAGCCCTAACCACAATGATAGCTTCTAACCCTGACTCTAAACTCTAACCCTAACTCTAATGTCCATCTCTAACCCTAACCCTAGCCCTAAATATAATCCTAGCACAAACCTCTAACCCAAACCCTAAATTCTAACCCTAACCCTAACCCTAACCATACACTCTAACTCTAACCCTAACTTTTTACCCTAAACTCTAACGCTAAGCTCTAGCCCAAACCCTAACCCTAAGTCCTAACCCTAGCCCCAACCCTAACCTCTGACCCTAAGTTCTAACCCTGATTCTAAACTCTAAATTCTAGCCGAAACCGGTTTGGCTCAGCGGTAGAGCGTCGGTCTGCGGACTGAAAGGTCCCAGGTTCGATTCCGGTCAAGGGCATGTACATTGGTTGCGGGCACATCCCCGGTAGGGGGTGTGCAAGAGGCAGCTGGTCGATGTTTCTCTCTCATCGACGTTTCTAGCTCTCTATCCCTCTCTCCTCCTCTCTGTAAAAAAATCAATAAAAAATATATATATTTAAACTCTAAATTCTAAACCCAAGCTCTAACCCCAATGCTAACCCTACGCTATAACTCTAACTGTAATGCTAACCTATAACCCTGACTCCAAGCTCTAGCCTTAACCCTAATCCTGACCCTGACCCCTGACCTCTAACCCTTGCAGGCCCTCCCCCCCCCCCCCCCCCCCCCCGGGCACCTATGAGCTGTTCTCTGGGCCTGGCCGTGTCCCCCAAATCACAAGAAACAAGAAAGCGGGGACACGCTCGTTCCTCTGAGAAGTGCTGTGCGAGGAGGCAGGGGTGACACGGGCGCCAAAGACCCACAGCCCGCCCGGGGCAGCCATGCAGGATCGCCCGGCGCCCTCGGCCCGCACCAGCCCCGCCGCAGCCTGAGGACCCGCAGAGGTGCAGAGCCGGACGACGTGACTAATCAGAATCCAGCTTTAGCGGGCGCGGCCCGCGCAGGCGCAGCGGCGGACACTGCCTCTCTGGCGATTGGGCGGCGAGGCGTACGGGGCGGGGCTTCCTGTCGGGGCGGAGAGGTTTCCGCCGCAGCCGCGGCACTTATGGCCTCGCTCAAAGCGGTGCTCGGGACGTCGCTCCCGGCCGCCCGCGCCGTGTGGCTGCTCTTCGGTTGCCGCCCGCTGCCCGCGCCCTGCTCCATCTCGGCCGCCGCCATGGAGCCGGCGCCCCACTGGCTGGCGGGACTGCACTTCGACAACCGAGCCTTGCGCGCGCTGCCCGTGGAGACGCCGCCGCCGGACCCCGAGGGCGCCGCGCCCGCACCGCGGCTGGTGCCCGGGTTCTGCTTCAGCCGCGTGCGGCCCGCGCCCCTGCGGCAGCCGCGCCTCGTGGCGCTGTCGGAGCCCGCGCTGGCGCTGCTGGGCCTGGGCGCGCCGCCCGCCGCCGCCGCCGCCCGCGAGGCCCGCGAGGCCGAGGCCGCCCTCTTCTTCAGCGGCAACGCGCTGCTGCCGGGCGCCGAGCCCGCCGCGCACTGCTACTGCGGCCACCAGTTCGGCCAGTTCGCGGGGCATGACGGCGCCGCCATGTACCTGGGCGAGGTGTGCACGGCGGCCGGCGAGCGCTGGGAGCTGCAGCTCAAGGGCGCCGGCCCCACGCCCTTCTCCAGGTGGGCGCCCTGCAGGTGGCCACGGGGCGGACCAGGCCCCCGGGGCTTGCCCCCTGGGTGGGCTGAGATGCCACCCCGGGACGGAGGACCCCTGGGTAGCAGCGTCCCGGAGAAGGGAACAGCTTGTGGGGAGGGTCTGGGGCCCGGCGGAGGGGCTGGCCGGCCTCCTGTCCTGCTGCCCCGGGCCCGTCCCCTCTGGCCTTTGAGCCAGGCGGGGCGTCTGACCCCACAGCCCTGGCAGCTGCTCACTGCCTGGTCTCACAGGCCGTCCGGACTTTGCACAATCACCGGTGCGCAGGGAGCCTGAGCGACTGGCCGGCATACTCACCGCCCAGCTTCCTCTGGTGCTGGCGGGCGGCCTGCTTCCCGCACCGCGCGCGCAAGCAGCTGCCTGTCCACTCACCTGCCTCCGTGCCCGCCAGAGGGACGAGATGCCTCGGATCCGCCTCCCAGGGAACAGTCCCCAGGCACAGGCTTCTAAGCCCTGCATGCCTGGCCCGCTCTGACAGCCCCCCTCCCCAAAGGGGGCGGGGCTGGGGCGTGTCCTATCTGGGCAGCCTGACCCAGCAGAGTGCCTTCCCACTGCTGTCTCCAAGAACTGACCAAAAAATGAGCTGATAAGCAATTAGAGTGAGGTTAGAAGATAGAAAGTTACCGTATAAAAGCCAATTACTATATACCAGCAGTGAACAATTGAGGACTTGGGCTGAGGAACAGTATCCAAGGGGTCCTCCCTCGGGTGATGGGCAAGGAAGCTGCCCCTCCAGACAGTGGCATGTTACTCAGCACCAAAAAGAAGTGAGCTGTGAGGGCAAGGAGAGACGTGGAGACGCCAGTGCATGTGACTGAGTGCAAGAAGCCATTCGGAAAGGGCCACTCCATGATGCTCTGGAAAAGGCAGAACTGGGGACAACAGATCAGGGGATGGGGCGGGGTGAGTAGGGGGGTGCAGGACTGTAGGGCAGTGAAACTACACTGTGACATTACAGTGGTGGGTACATGTCATCATATGTTTGTCCACATCCATAGAACGTAGGACACTGATGTAAACCCTGGACTCGGGGAGATAGGGCGGGTCAGCGTAGAGCCACTCATCGGTACAAATGTCCCCTCTAGTGAGGGTGCTGTGGGGAGGCGGGGCGTGCAGGGGCTGATGAGGAATTTCTGCACCTTCCACTCAATTCTGCTATGAACCTAAAACTGTTCTGAAAAAAGTATTAATAGAGGCTTAGTTTGAAGAAAAGGTCAAAAGCATCCAAGGCAATCGAAGTCCTGTCCCACTACAAAGGGTGCTGTTGTGTTGTTTTGTAAAAGGAGTAAACGTAGAACTGCAGTGCCGAATGAGTGTGTGTGTGTGTGTGTGTGTGTGTGTGAGAGAGAGAATGAGAGAGAGGGAGGGGGGACATGGCGGCAGGCTGGGTCCGTGTGGGGTGTCGGGGCCTTCACTGCCCTTCCCTTTCAGCTCCAGGCCAAGCGCTCACTGGCTCCAGACCTGGGACAACATTGGGGCTGATGTTAGCACAGCCGTGAATTGTTTTTAATGGCTGTTAGCAGGCTGTTTCCGTCCTGCGTCTGCACTGAGCCTTGCGTGGAGGCCCCTGCCAGCACCACAGTGACCCGTGTTTGATTCCAGACAGGCTGACGGCCGCAAGGTCCTGCGCTCCAGCATCCGGGAGTTCCTGTGCAGCGAGGCCATGTTCCACCTGGGGGTGCCCACCACGCGGGCCGGCGCCTGCGTCACGTCCGAGTCCACGGTCGTGCGCGACGTGTTCTACGACGGCAACCCCAAGCACGAGCCCTGCGCGGTGGTGCTGCGGATCGCCTCCACCTTCCTCAGGTAACGCTCCGGCTGCCTGCGGGCCCGGGAGACGCTCGTGCAGCTCGGACACAGAGGGCCGGTGCCCAGGAGGCGGAAGCCGACTGCCCGTGAAGGAGGCGCTGTGACCCCCGGGCAGGTCACCGGCAGAAGGTCCCGGGTGTTCTCTGGGTCAGGAGCCCCGTCCTGCGTGTGGACAGTCGTGCCTCCCAGATTCCTTGCCCAACACTGATGCCGCCAGAAGGGATGGGGTGGCGGCGGCCGTGGCAGCGAGTCCACAGGCGCCCCGAGCGTCTGAGAGGCTGCTGGGTGCGGCAGAGGAGGGGCTGTCCAAGCAGGCGTCTGAGAGGCGAGTCTGACGGAGCCTGAAACCCTCCGAGAACGTGGTCACGCGTAGTGTTGTGATGAGTTAGGGGCTGTTACCGGCCTGACGTGCTGTGTCCCTCACACCCGCTCACTCGGCAGACTCCTCTCTGGCTCCATCTCTGAGAGGAGCCCGTTTGTCCGTCCAGATGGCACCATGCTGCCTGGCATCAAACCCAGTGTGTCAAGAGGTGGTTTTGGGGCCGAACCAACCCTGTATATGTATGTCTGGGCACCCAAGATGGCTCGGGAGTCACCAGGCCAGTCCCCAGAGGGAGACCCCTCGTGGCACCACAGGCATTGTGACCCGTCATTGCCGTGGCAGCATCGCTAGCCTCAGCCCACCGGCTGCTGGTAGGAGCTGTCAGGACGACCACACGTCTCCGGGCACTCTGCACGGCCCAGGGCACAGTGACCAGAGTGCCCGCTGCAGGATGTCAGTGCCCGCACATCCTGGGTGTGGGCCTCCCCACCTCAGAGGGGCCTCCCCACCTCACCTCAGCGGCCGTGTGAGCGTGGCCAGAGGTGCCTGCTGTGCTGTGTCACTGGTTGGTGTTCCGCTGTCAGCTGCGTCCAGGGGCCAGATTTCTCTCTCCTTTTTCCAGGGGATGGGTCATGGTTAACCTGTTGAACCCCGGGCCTCCCTGCAGGTTCGGGTCCTTTGAGATCTTTAAGGCTGAGGATGAGCACACGGGTCGTGCGGGCCCCAGCGTGGGGAGGAACGACATCCGTGTGCAGATGCTGGACTATGTGGTCAGCACTTTCTACCCTGAAATCCAGGCCACGCACGCCAGCGACTCCGTGCAGAGGAACGCTGCCTTCTTCCGCGAGGTGGGTCCGAGGTGCCAGGTCTGCCTGCCCTGGGCCTTGGGGGCCCGGAGACCCCGGGGCTGAGGGCCCTGGGTCAGCCCTCTTCCCACCAGAAGTGGGCGCCGGCCGAGCAGATGTTTGGGGGCCGTCCTGTGCGGTCATCGCGCCTGCTGTTGCGGCACCATCTCCCTCAGCTCACACCTGCTGAGGGGCTGCTCTGAGCGTGTTTGCAGCCGAGGAGGGTGCTGCCCAGTCGGTGCCTGGAGTCCTCAGCCTCTGGGGAGGGTGGCACCTGTGAGCCAGGGTCTGGACACCGGGCACTAGGGATGTCTTGTGGGGGCCCCTGCTCTCCCTGTGGCCGGCATGTCCCCGCGGCTGCATGGGGTGCTGAGCAGTGGGCCTGGGCATGAACAGCAGGGCTGGTGGCCGGACAGACCACCTGGACCTCCTTCCTGGGCAGCCCGTGGGGCCAGGCAGGCCCAGCACAGGCGCCTGGACCAGGGAGGGTTTTGCCTGACGAGTGTAACTTCCTTGTTTCCACGTGGTCTTCCCATTGGGCCTGAGTCGCAGGATTCAGGCTTCGTGTTTTTCTGGTAAAAGTCCAAGCCAGTGAGGATCTGAAAGAAGTAGATGGTGAATGTGGGGCTAGAGCTCTCCTCACGTCTCAGGTCCTCCCTACGGCCGAGTGTTGGTCGACACGACAGGATCCGGACCAGGGCCCCTCAGAGGAGCACAACTGGCCCCTGGGAGGGAAGACGGGCGGGGAGGGGCTGGAGGGAGCAACCAGGCCCGTCCTGCCCCAGGTGACACGTCGCACGGCCCGGATGGTGGCTGAGTGGCAGTGTGTCGGCTTCTGCCACGGCGTGCTCAACACGGACAACATGAGCATTGTGGGGCTCACCATCGACTACGGGCCCTTCGGCTTTCTGGACAGGTGGGCACACCCCCACAGCGCCGAGTCGCTGGGCAGGGGAGGGGCCTCAGGCCAAGCTGGTGGGAGTCCCCTGGAGGGTTTCAAGCTGAGAAAAAGCATTTTAAAAGGGTGTCCCACCCTGGCAGGTCCTGAAGGGGCCAGGCTAGGAGCAGGTGGTGAGCAGGGCAGGCAGTGCCGGCCTGGGCAGGTGCCCGGGGGCAGCGCCAAGGACATCTTCCCTGCTCTGGAGGCGGACTGTCGGGCTGGTGGCTGATGGTCAGCTGGCGGCAGGATAGTGTGGAGGACTCTGCAGGGTCTTTGAGCTCAGCCCTTAGGGCCAGGACCCCTGGGGGACGGCAGGAGACAGCAGCCACATGGGCAACACCTTCTCCCCGTGTGCAGGTACGACCCTGACCACGTGTGCAACGCCTCGGACAATGCCGGGCGCTACTCGTTCAGCAAGCAGCCCGAAGTGTGCAAGTGGAACCTGCAGAAGCTGGCTGAGGCCCTGGTGCCCGAGCTGCCCCTGGAGCAGGGCGAGGCCATCCTGGCCGAGGAGTATGACACCGAGTTCCACAGGCACTACTTGCACAAGATGCGCAGGAAGCTGGGCCTCGTGCAGGCCGAGCGGGAGGAGGACGCCGCGCTGGTGGCCAAGCTCCTGGAGACCATGCACCTGACCGGTGAGCGGAGTGGGCGCACGCGTGTGGGCTCGGCATGCTGCTGTGGCCAGACGTGAGGTGAAGTCCACCTTTCACCGGTCCTCAGTGTGCACGCCAGGGGCACTGGGTACATTTCACTGTGGTTCAGCCATCTTCCCCGCTGCCCTGTGAACGGACCCCTTCGGGCCCTCACCGGAGCTGAATCCCACAGCCCGTGTGTCCCGAGCACTGGGTCCTACAGGCCCCGAGCTGCTGGAGGCAGAGACTGCTGTGTTGTGCGCTGGGCCTGCTGTGCTCAGCACCACTAGCCTGGCTGTCCCTCTCTGCTGTGAAAACAGCCCTCTTGGTCCTGCACTTGGCAGTGGGGCCCGGGCGTGTAGGCTGGCCGAGCTCTGGCTGGAAGGGCAAGCTTCCTGTCGCCACCACAGAGCAGGCGGACTGCGCCTCCTCATGCCGCCATTTCCAGTTTGGGTGCTTTTACCATTTTGTGTCCGTTGAGACAACCACGTGGTTTTATGCCTTCCTTCATATCCTGTCTTAGTCCGTGTGATCTATAATAAATCGCCACAGCCATTCGTCTCGTTCTGGAGGCTGGAAGGCCAAGACGGAGGTGCCAGTGCAGGGGGTTGTTGGTAAGGCCGCTGCTCACTCACAGAGGCTATCTCCACGCTGGGTCCTCCTGGCAGGGCAGGGAGGGTGGAGCTTTGTCTCTCCTCACCCGAACAGGTCCCACAGGAGGCCCCACCTTCATGACCCGACTGCCTCCTGGCCCTCACGCTGGGGAGAAGTCACAGCCCCATGTGCTCCTGGCAGACCCTGCTGGTCATGGGCCTGGCCCTCTGAGTAGATGGACTTGGCCTGTAGCTTTCTTTCCTTGCAGTGTCTGTGGCTTTGATGTCAAGGCAGTGCCAGCCTCACAAAGTAAATTAAGAATTGTTTCCTGATTTTCAGAAGAGTTTGAGAAGGATTGGCGATAATTCTTTAAGTATATTTTTATTGATTTCAGAGGGGAGAATGAAACATCAATGACGAGCATCATTGATCAGCTGCCTCCTGCTTGCCCCCTACTGAGGATCAAGCCTGCAGTGTGGGCATGTGCCCTGACAGGGAATCGAACCTGGAACCCTTCAATCTGCAGGCTGACGCTCTATCCACTGAGCAACACCAGCCAGGGTGGTGGTAATTCTTTAAATGTTTAATAGAATTCACCAGTAAAGGGTCAGTGCTGGGCTTTTCTGTCTTGGGAAGTATTAGATTGGGAGTTGTTTGTATTCTCACCAGTTACAGAACTAGATGTTATTTCTTCTTAAGTCCATTGTAGTTTGTGTGGTCCTAGGAACTTGCCCAGTTTCACCACGTACCTGACTTACTGGCATGTAACTCTTCATGTGTTCTCTTAGTCTTTGGGTTCTGATTTCCGTTCTTTGTATCTTCTTTGTCGGTGTAGTTAAGTTTATCAATTTGTTGATTCTTTTCAGAGAACAATTTGTGTTATTGATTTTTCTGTTTCATTCTCTCTGCTGTAATCTTTAGTTCCTTCCCTGCTGCGCACTGGTTTTGCTGTTCTTTTTCTGGTTTGTTAGGTATGCTGTTAGGCAATTGATCTGATGTCTTTAATTGGTAGTTGACGTGTTCACTTCAGGCGTACAGCACGATTTGGTGTTTGTGTATATTGCAATATGAGCCCAGTGACTAGGGAACAAGTGGTCACAAACCGGTTTTATGAGGAGAGATCCATCTTTCAAAGTTGGCATCCATGGCTCGCTCCTGTGTCTTTCTGCGTATTTTACCATTTCCCTTGTGATTTCTTTGGTGGGCCTTTGGATTATGTTGATTTCCACATTTATAATTTCCCATTTTCCTTGTTTGTGGTTTCAGCTTCATTCCACTGTGGCTGGCGAAGATTCCAGCCAGCCCTCGTAAACGTATCAGACTCGTCTGGTGGCCTCCGTGGCCTTCGGGGGCGTGTGGCTCCCAGGAAGTGTTGTGGCCCGGGGGGCTTACTGCCGTTAGGGTGTGGGTGTTTGAACGTCCATCTGGACGCCACACCCCTTGTTGGAAGGGGACGTGGCTGCTTTCTCCCTTCAGTTGGATGGGCGTTGGCCTTGCCCATCGGGCTCTCCACGTAGTGTGCGTGTGGTCACGTGTGAGGGGCATGTGCCCGTCCGAGCACATCATACAACGCTCCTCTTTGCCCTTAGACATTTGTACTTAAACCCGCTGCCACCAGGCTCTAGGCTATTTGCACAGGACCTGTCTCCAACCTCCCACGCTCACCTTGATTCTAAAGTACGTCTCAGATGGTGTAGTGGATCTTGTTTTACTCCATCCTGCCAATCTCTGCTTGTTGATTGGAATTAAACTCATTTACTTTTTACGTGATTGATGAGAAGGAAGCACCCCTGGCCATTTGCTGTTTGTTGGCTGTGTCTGACACCATTTGCCCTCATTCTCTCCATTGCTGCTTTCATGTTTCGTTGGTTCTTTGGTAACACTGAATTCATTCCCTTCTTGTTTCTTCGGGGGGGGGGGGGGGGGGGGGGGGGGAGGCGGCCTGTTCCATTTTTTAAAAATTTTTTGTTGATTTCAGAGAGGAAGGGAGAGGGAGAGATAGAAACATCAATGATGAGAGAGAATCACAGATCGGCTGCCTCCTGCAAGTCCTCCACTGGGGATCAAGCCCAAAACCCCTGTGCCCTGACCAGAATCAAACCCGGGACCTTTCAGTTCACAGGCCAACGCTCTACCCACTGAGCAAACCAGCTAGGGCTGGAGGTTTTCTTACGGGTTATGGTGACTGTGTTCTGACAGGTCATAATGAGTCCTTTGGGCATGTTTCAGGGGTCTGGGGACACTGCAGCTCCTGAGGCCAGGGGCCGACCCCAGTGCCTTCGCTATTGTACCCATTTTACAGATGAAGAAGCTGGGGTGGGGACCTTGAGGACTTGTCTGGTGCTGAGTTGTGGCTGAGCTGGGTAGGGACTGAGAACACACTGGACCTGACAATGCAATGTGCCTCCCACCGGGTAAGATGGACGCGTGTGCGTCAGCCTGTGAGCAGAGAATGCTGCAGGAGGGCAGCACAGAGCCTGGCCTCTGCCCCCTGTCCCTGAGCAGCTGTGTGTTCCAGGTGCCGACTTCACAAATACCTTCTACCTGCTGAGCTCCTTCCCAGTGGGGCCAGATTCCCCGGGCCTGGCCGAGTTCCTGGCTGCGCTCATGGAGCAATGTGCCTCCCTGGAGGAGCTGCGGCTTGCCTTCCGGCCCCAGATGGATCCCCGGTGGGTGCTCGGGTCTTGCTTCCTTGGAATTTGTTTAGAACAGAGCGTGAGGGGCTGCCCATCAGGGGTGCTGACACAGTTGGCTGGATGCCTGGGATCCGGGCAGCTGCTCGCCTCCCAGGAATGAGCGGTGGTCAGAGGAAAGGACAGTGATGCCAACGCTGGACGGGGAGGCCCAGGGCCCAGACTGGGGGATGGTGGTCTCTGCTCTCCGTTGCCTCAGGCACCATCTCCCATCAGGAAGAGCACACATATCCATGGGGTGCAGCCCACACTCAGGGCAAGACCTGGGAGGCGTGGTGGCACATTTTAATAAACAAGCCTGTAGACTGGCCAGAGGAATTTAATACGGCCGTGCAGGGCCTCGGGACCCAGGTGGACTGCTGGCAGGACCTGCCCCTGACTTCAGTGAGCTTCTCCCAGCAGTCAGTGCTGGGTGGGGGCAGAGACAGTGCCTTGCCCACCCCAGGGCCACCTGAGTCAGCCTGTGGCATATCCTTGGGTGCAGCTGTGTCCCATCACATGGAGGGGCTGCTGAACAGGGTGCCCAGCTGGCAGGTGCCCACATCTACCTCGTCCATTGGGGCTGGGCTCCCCTTCAGTCAGGCTGTAGTGGGGTGCAGCAGGGCCGCTGAGGCCATCCCTCTGGGGCAGCCAGATGTGCAGAGTCCCAGGCTATGTGCACAGCCAGGGAGGGCGCTGCAGCCTCCTGGACACGCTCACGGCCGCTCCCCACCCAGGCAGCTCTCCATGATGCTGATGCTGGCGCAGTCAAACCCGCAGCTCTTTGCGCTGATCGGCACCCGGGCCAACGTCACAAAGGAGCTGGAGCGCGTGGAGCAGCAGTCGCGGCTGGAGCAGCTGAGCCCGGCCGAGCTGCTGAGCAGGAACAGGGGCCACTGGGCGGACTGGCTCCAGGCGTACAGGTGAGCCGGCCGAGCGTGCACAATGGGCACAGTGTGCCTGCTGGGGCACCATCTCGGGGAGCTCGACGGGGAGGTGGGAGCCGAGGCTGCTGCCAAGGTGGGCTTGTGGTTGCAGGGCCAGGCTGGAGGAGGACAGGGAAGGTGCCGCTGACCAGGACGCCTGGCAGGCTGAGCGCACGCGTGTCATGCACGCCAACAACCCCAAGTACGTGCTGCGGAACTACATCGCGCAGAACGCCATCGAGGCTGCCGAGAACGGAGACTTCTCAGAGGCAAGGACACGCCCAACCCTCCTCCCCTAAGTCCTGCAGGAGGGGCTGGGCCAGGGAGGGAGGGTCCCCATAACCCCCCCTTGCTCCTCTCCAGGTGCGACGGGTGCTGAAGCTGCTGGAGGCCCCGTACCACAGGGAGGGGGAGACCACCGAGGTCCCGGGGGCCGCCGAGCCCGAGGGGGCCGGCAGCCCAGCAGAGAGGCGCCGCTCCTACAGCAGCAAGCCCCCGCTCTGGGCCGCGGAGCTGTGTGTGACGTGATCCTCGTAACCGCCTTGGAGGCCGAGGCCCCGAGGCAAGTTGACCCTGAGTCCATGAGGCGGTGCCCAGCAGCGAGCAGCCCACCCCGTCTCTCCATGACGGCAGGGACGTCCAGTCAGGACCTGACCCGTCTCTGTCTGACACCGACTCAGCAGCCCAGCACAGCAGCATGCTCCCCATGAAAAGCTGCTTCGCGCAAGGGCAGGGCAGCAGAGGGACCGGACCCAGGAGGACCCAGCAGCCACAGCCCCCATGGCAGCCTGGGAGGCCGGCACTGCAGGCTCCTGCTTCTCAGAACTGCCCCTAAATAAACAGCTCCAAGGCCCATCTCTGTGTGGTCATTCTACCCAGCCCACCCCTGGACCCGCCCAGAGGCACCTTGACTGGCCTGCACCCAGGCGAGCAGCTAGGCATCCTGGTAGTAGTTGTTGAAGTTGATGCGCAGCAGGAAGTCCTCCAGGTGGGGCTGGTAGCCTCGGTTCACCAGCTTGGTCACCACTGGGGGGAGCAGTGAGTAGATGGGTGGGAAGGACAGTGAGTAGATGGGGGCCCTCCCTTGGCCCTGCCCTTCTGCCCCCGATGCCGATGGCAGCCCACCTGCCAGTGCGGATGGCTCACCTTTGAAAAGGAAGTGGGAGTAGTACTTGAAGGTGTTGTAGGACTGCTGCATGAGGGCAAAGTTGGGGTGTTCAGCGCCGTGGGGGCCGCCGGCTGGGCCCCAGGGCTGGGAGATGAGCTGGCTGCGGAACTTGAGGACCAAGCTGAAGACGCTGTGGATGATGTTCATGACGGGAGCCGCCTTCTCTGTCAGCAGGCCCCTGGGGAGCAAAGGCGATGCCGGTGGGTGGGGTGACGCCCTCAGGGTAACCCTGATGCCCCCCCTTCCCCCGCGTGTCCCCACCCCGTGCCTGAGCCTCACCGGAAGACGGCCTTGTGCAGGTACTCGGCGTGGGCGCGCTGGATCTCCTCGAGGTCCCCCACTGTGGCCAGCCGGGCCCGGAACTCACACCAGGTGACGTGCAGGATCTGGTTGGCGATGTAGCCCTGGATGACCTTCACGAAGTGCTGCATCTCGTGTTTGAAGAGCTGCAGCTGTCGGAACTGCACGGAGCCAGCCGCGGGGCTCACGAGAGCTGTGCAGGGGGATGAGCAGCTGCTGCATGGCCAACGCCCCAAGCTGAGGGCGTGGACGTGGGTGTGGGCGTGGGCAGGCCTCACCTGTGCGCTTCAGGTGAAAACAGACGTCCTTGAGCGTCCACATCATGAGCTTCAGCTGCAGCAGGAAGGAGAAGATGCCGCTGTACCTGCTCAGGCAGCTCTCGGTGATGACGATGTTGAGGGGCCAGTCAACCTGCAGGGCGTTGACTCAGCACTCCTAGAGGGCCAGCCCAGCCAGCCGAGCCCACCCATACCTCCAACTCTGCTGACCTTGTACCTGAGCTCCAGGCAGCTCAGCACGTCCGGGGCGTTGGGGACAAAGGCCTCTGGCAGGAACTTGAGGGCAAAGGAGAGGTTGGCGGCGAGCGGGGAGTCGCCGTGCAAGCTGTACTGCAGCGCCTTGCGCAGCACCGCGTTGAGCACCAGCGGGTTGAGGAGCTCCCCGGGCGTCTGCCCTGCGCCCAGCTGCAGGAGAGGAAGGAGTCCCGAGGCCGTCCAGCCCAGCAGCCGCTGCCGCCCCCACCGCCCCGGGCCCACCTTCTCAAAGAGCAAGTCGCTCAGGGACTGCGCGAACTCGCCGTCCTCCATCAGCAGGAAGTGCCGCAGCGCCTCGAAGTGCGCCTCCAGCTGCAGCTCCACGAAGAAGTAGTCCACGGCAGCCTTGTTCACCAGGGACACGCTGCGGAGGGGCTGGGTCAGGCAGGTGTGTGGGGCAAGTGGAGGCGGCGGGGCCAGGAGGTGGGCGGCACTCACTGGGCGGCCAGCGGCGCAGTGACCGAGTGCTTCATGAGAACAGGCAGCGGCAGCAGCTCACTCAGCTGCACGGCGGTCTCCTCCGTGGTCTCCTCCGTGTCCGACGGGCCCCGGGTGTCTTCGGGGAGGGAGAAGGCCCGGGGAAGCCCATGGTGTAGGAGGCATGCCACCGGAGGCTCTGCTGCAGGGACGGCACAGCTCATGTCGCCAGGGGCGCCTCCCGGTGCCCGCCCCCTCACCCCCACCACGTGCTCACGCACACATGGCCTCATAGCTGTCCGGGTACTGCTCCAGCTGGTACTGCTCCACCAGGCCTGCCAGGTAGGCCTGCTCCCTGTCCTGGCGCCTGTCCGCCGCCTCCTCTTCTAGGCTCGGGGTGGCTGCACATTCCTAAGACAACCCAGCGTCACAACCATGCCCCTTTCCTTTGCAGGTGGCTCGCTGCCCACACAAGGCCGGGCAGGGGTGGCCAGCAGAGCATGCCCCCACCCTCCTCAGCCTGACCTGAGAGCCTGCAGGCTGACTGGAAGAGCTGTCCTCGGTGTCTCCGCTCCTCCCTGGGCCTGAGTGCACAAAAGGGCCGGGAGGGGGGTCAGGGGTACGTGCCTGCTATGGGGCAGCACCTCCCAAGCCCCCAGGACAGCGACTTCTCGCCCTTCCTTCTCCCCCTCCTGGACCACCACCACCAGTGACAGGACAGCTGTCCACTGACCTGGCTCACAGGTGCTGCCTCCCACAGCACTGGATCCCGCCTCAGCACCTGGCAGGGCCTGGAGGCCACCTTCTTCCCCAGAGCCAGCCACCGGCGTGCAGGAGCCGGCCGCGGCCGGTTCTGCCGACAGCTGTGAACTGTGTTCCCAGGTAGAGCTCTGGGTGCCCAGGCTGAGGGCTGGCTGGGACATGTGGTCGGGGGAGCTCTGAAGGGGCCTGGGTGTATCATGCTGGGTTTCCCCTAGGGGCGCTCCCAGCATCATGTGGGACTGAGACACGTGTCCGTGGACGTTCCACTGTGGCCGGGAGGGTGCCACGTCACACACGTTCTCCCCCACCTTGAAGCTGGCATCAGACACGTGTCCATGGGCATTCCAGCGTGGCCTGGAGGGTGCCACGTCCCACACGTTCTCCCCCACCTTGATGCTGGCATCAGACACGTGTCCATGGGCATTCCAGCGTGGCCTGGAGGATGCCACGTCCCACACGTTCTCGCCCACCTTGATGCTGGCATCAGACACGTGTCCATGGATGTTCCACCGTGGCCTGGAGGGTGCCACGTCCCACACGTTCTCCCCCACCTTGATGCTGGCATCAGACACGTGTCCATGGGCATTCCAGTGTGGCCTGGAGGATGCCACGTCCCACACGTTCTCCCCCACCTTGATGCTGGCATCAGACACGTGTCCGTGGACATTCCAGCGTGGCCGGGAAGGGGCCGTTCCAGAAGTATAACTCCCTGTGAGACTACTACCCTCAGACACATGCCCAAGAGGCTGCCCCATGGCCTGGCTACTCCCCTCCTGGGGGAGGCTATTCCTGGGTAGGCATGGGTGAGGCAGAGCCACCTGCCCATCTGGGACACTGGTGTCCAGCGTACACACGTGAGTGTCTCCCCTCAGCTGCGGCCCCTCGCAGCCTAAGCTGCCTCCCATAGTCTGGAGGGTCTCTGGGGCCGAGGTGACCAGAGCTGGCCTCAGGACAGTTCTGAAATCGTACTCCTGTGGCCCAGAGCAGCCCGTTGTGGCTGATGAAGCAGAGGCACGCAAATCTGAACCGATGGTCTGCAGGGCCTCCTCCAAGACAGGGGCCACCCCAGTGTCCTCAGGCTGCTTAGCAGCCGGGCCCGTGGTCAGGAAATCTTGGATACTGAGGCCTGCAGAGAACAGCCCCGGCCCCTGGGCCTGCCCTGGCTGCAGGCCTGCTCCCAGCTCCGAGCCGCTGCAGGCCCCCAGTGCTGGGGGCGCGAGGAGCTGCGGCATCAGCTCCCTTGGCCGGCCTAGGCCATCCCAGGCAGCCACATGCTGCTCTGCAGACCCAGAATCACAGCTGCCACCTCCATCAGGGTGCCCAGGGCCCAGAGACGAGGCCTGAAACACAAGAGCATGTTGGACCCCTGGTTACCTGGCTCTATCCCCAAAGTCAGTTCTGGGGACTGTGGAGACACAGGACAGGCACCACTGTGTTCCAGGGCAGCACAGGCCTGGGACCCAGCTCAGAGCCCCACGCGGCATCCCCGGATGCGGCCTGGCCCCTCACCTGGGAGCATGCACTGGGGCACACCGCCGGCGGCTCTGGGGGCCTCCCCTCGGACGCGTCTCTCAGCATGGCCTGGAATTCAATTACAGGGTGAGGTGGCAGCTGCACAGAGAGCAGACCCGACCCTCCGCCCAGAGCCACCCGGCCCGGAGCCTCAGCGCCCACCAGCCCCACTGCAGCAGCACCGAGACCACAGGCTGTGCCCTCGGCCTATAGACAGCCCGCACGGCCCCACACAGCACATCCCAGGAACTGAGGGAGTTACCGTCCCTTCCCCAGGGCACACGGGTCTGCATGAAGTTCCAGGGGGTCCTGGGGCCTCAGGCCCAGGAGGAGGGCCCCTGACACACCTGAATGTGCTCCTCATCTTCTAAGAGAAAGCGAGCTCGCGTGCTCGCGAGCCTGTGCCTCTGGATCTTCCACAACGCCTTCTGCTCCCGACGAGCTGCCTCTGCAGACAACTTGCTATAATGGTCAACCAGCGCCTGCCTGAAGCCACACCCAGAGAGAACGGGTCACCAGTCACCACACTGTCCAGCTGGCTCCCCTTGGGGACAGTTCTCCACGACAGAGGCCCCGGCAGGTGGTCTGCACAGCCTGGCACCTTCCCAGGCCCCAGGTGGTCCCTCTGCACCCACAGCTCCTGCAGGGGCCTCACCAGGCTAGCTGCTCTGCCCACAGGGCAGGCGCCCGGCCAGGGCCCGGCTCACGCCTGCTGAATGACCACCAGAATGCGCCTCTGCACTGAGGCAGGGGCCCTCTGGGGCAGCCTCCCTTCCTCAGCTGCACAGGAAGGAAGGAGAATAGCTTCTACCCACACGCACATTCCCACACACGTGCACATACACACACACAGACGTGTGCGTACATCACTCAGGCTTCAGGGCTCAGCTCTACAAACAGTATCTGAGGTCAGGCCACCAAGGCCATGAGCAGGAAGGGACAGCCCCTTCTACGAAGAACCCCCTGAGGCCACTCTGCTCCCAGCTCTCCCCTGGGCGTGGGGGACTCAGAACCCCCGGAGGGTGGGACGAGTCTGACACAGTGAGAGCCCGACTGTCGGATGCTGTGCTGGACAAACGCCCAACTCTGTCAGGCTAGCAGGCTTCACGTTAAATGAACAGGAGCTGTTTAACTCCAGAGGCGAGAGACAGGGTGTGCAGATCTGCCTGGACTCCAACCCACACACCCACCAGCACATCCTGAGGGCTGAGGACACATGGACGTGCTCATGTCTACGTCCACGAGCACCGAGGCCAAGTGGTGCTTGAAGTCAAGACAAGATTTGAAAGTTTTCCAAATAAAAAGTAAAACAACCATCACCAAGATCAAACCTGTCTTGGGGCCTGCCGTGCCCTCACCGCGGAGGGTCAGCCGGAGTGACCACCCCACAGCCACCCACCTCGCCTTCCTCTCCAGCTGCTCCTCCAGGGCCTGCAGCCTCCGTTCCCGGGCCCGGAGCTCTCGGGCGTAGCTGAAGTCATCATCCAGCTCCTCCTGCCGGGCTGCCCGGCGTCGCTGCAGGACACACCCACAGGCAGCTTCAATGCTAAACCCAGCTCTCAAGCCGCCCCCCACCCCAGGACCCACAGCCTGCCCACCTCCTGGTCCTTCACAAACTGCTCCTTCAGCCTCTGAAACTGCTCTCGCTTCCGAGCATCCAAGGCCATCCGTTCCGACATCTGCCGGTCTGCAGGAGACACAAGCGCCGTCCTGAGGAGCCCCCACAGGCCGCAGCCAGCATCCCAGAGAGGGACCCGAGCCGACACGCACCGCTCAGTGCACTCAGGACCCTGGACGCCGCTTCTCGGGCCTGGACGATTAACTCTTGCTTCGCAATCTCCATTCGTAATTCCTGGAAAAGACGGGCGGTGAACCCAGCCACCTCTCTGCCCACCCCTGGGCTGGAGGACCTGCAACAGGCTGCTCAGACCCCAGGTGGACCCCCCCAGGGACCGTGCCCTGCCCCCCGCCCCCTGCCCGCCCTAAACAGTGACATCAGACACAGGGTCCTGCACAGGAGCTGAGGCTGTCGCCAGGTGTGTGTGTGTGTGTGTGTGTGTGTGTGTGTGTGTGTGTGTGAGCTCAGGAGTGACATCCCTTCAGGGACAGAGGGCCAGCGCCCAGCCAGCTCCCAGAGAAGAGAGGACAGAATCCCTGCCCTTGGTTGCCCAACCCAGACACACACCTAGGACCGAGACCGCCGCACCGTCTTGCACACCCCAAACCCAGCACCCCTGGGAGCGGAGGACGGAGTGGGGAGAGGAGAAGGGAGTGAGGGAAGCCCCCGGGGCTATGGTCCTTGAACCTTCTCCTCCTTGCTGATGGAGCTGTGACGCGCCACCCTCTCCATCCTTCCCACGTAGATGGCACAGTCCTTCTCAATCTCCTTCAGCTCCTCAAGGGAGAAAATCACCGAGATCCGGGGCACGGGGACGTCGGACCAGCAGATATAATGCTGCAACAAAGGGGCCCACACACAGCTCTGCTTCTGTGCTGCCGGTCACCTCATGGGCAGCCCACTCCTTCACAAGAGGACAGCACCCTCCCCGGCTCCGAGCTCACACCTGGCCGTCTGCCCTGGTCCTCCACCCCCACTGACCCTGGTCCCTGAAAGCCCTAGGCCCACCTGGCCAGCGCCTGCCTCTGCTCAGACATCAGACTGCTCCTCAAAAAGGCTGCCCCAGCCGGGACCGGTTTGGCTCAATGGATAGAGCGTCGGCTTGGGGACCGAAGGGTCCCGGGTTCGATTCCAGTCAAGGGCATGTACCTTGGTTGCGGGCACATCCCCAGTAGGGGGTGTGCAAGAGGCAGCTGATCGATGACTCTCTCTCATCGATGTTTCTAACTCTCTCTCTCCCTTCCTCTCTATAAAAATCAATAAAATATATATTAAAAAAAAATGCTGCCCCAGCCTTGGCCACGTGGACGCTGGCACAGGCCTCTGTCCAAGCCTGTGCCCCAGACACAGCTCCCTGAACCAGCCTGTCCATTTCCCTGCAGACGCAGGCCCTCCCCACCGAGGGGCCGCTCTCCCGAGGAGCAGGGGAGGACACGCTGCCCCTCGGCCTCAGGACGCCTCTGCTTTCCCTCCCTCCGTGAGCATGAGCCGGAGGCAGGAGCCCTCATTGAACTCAGGGGCCCTGAGGGAGAAGTCACCACGTCCCAGCTCCAACGAGCTGGCCCAGCGGCGGCAAGGACCGATGGCCAGGTCTGGGGGGACCTCACTCTGAGGCCGGAGGACAAGGCAGGCGAGGAGAGCAGAGGGGAGCGTGGCTCCTCACTCACCTGGGGGCAGCAGAGCTTCAGCAGGTTGATGGTCTTCCCACAGACGTACACGTCGTGGGCGATGTGCTTCAGGAAGGCGGGCACACAGTCCTCGGCCTCCTTGGCGAGGAGCACGTAGCCGTGGGTCCAGTAAAACTTGTCTGGGCGTGGGACAGGACATGCTGGGCTGCGTCCAGGACCCCCTGACCCCCGGACAGCACGGAGCCCAGCACACAGCCAGCCACCACCTACCTCTGAAGCCCAGGTAGTCGTGGTTCACCTGGATCATGAACTCGCCGTACACGTCTCTGAAGACCCCACTGTACACCCAGTCGTAGATGAACCTGCCAGGGTGGGGCCAGCAGTGAGATGGGCGGGGCGGCCACGGGGTGGAGTGTGCGCAAGGAGCCCCGTCCCAGCCCTGACGATGCCGCTCCCTCCCCATTGGACGTCCCTGCACTCAGCAGGTGTGTGTGTGTGGGGGGGGGGGGGGGGGCCAAGGGAATTTGGCTCAAGCACCTGCAGAGACAGAGTGCAACCTGCCCACCCCGGGCCCCACCCCAGACCCCTCGCCCACCGGGTGTAGGGCTCGCAGCTGGTCTTGAGCAGCGACAGCAGCACCGGGTAGTGCTCGTTGCTGCAGTTGTCCAGGGCCTCCTGGTAGAGGTAGGAGAGCAGCTTCACGCCCTGGAGACCGCAGAGGGCAGGGCTGAGAGCATGAGACAGCAGAGGGGATAGGCAGCCCAAGGCAGTCACCCTCAGCCTCGCCCCCTTTCCTGGGTCCCACACAGCTCACCGTGGGGAAGGGGGCCTGGGACTCTCCTCCGCAGGTGCCCACACCACAGAGCTCAGCCAGGTACCTAGGCAGGCCAGGGGAGAGCAGGTAAGCAGAACGTGGCCTAGCCCTTCCCTCCCACCTTAACCCTCTGGCTCTAACACCAGCTGCCCCCAAGCATCTCCACCCTAAGCGCCCTGCTGGGTCCCTCTGCAGTTACCCCTGCCTCTCCCTCTCCTTCCACTCAGCCAGGGCCCCCATACTGAGCGTGCCCTTTCCCAGCACCCGGGCTCAGCCCCGACCCCCTCCTGGACTCCCGCCACCTCCCAGGCTACCGCCCTCCCAGGCCCTCACCCTCTCCACCACAGCCGTGCACAGGCAGCCCAGCACCCCCCTGCCCGCCTCCCTGACGGCCCGTGTCCGGCCCTCGGAGGCCTCCACCCTCCACCCCTCACCTTCTCCACCACGGCCGTGCACAGGCAGCCCAGCACCCCCCTGCCCACCTCCCTCACGGCCCGTGTCCGGCCCTCGGAGGCCTCCACCCTCCACCCCTCGCCCGGAAGGCCTGCTCTCCCCGAACCCTCTTCTCCACCGGCACCTGCGGACATCGTTCACCGGGTTAGCGAACTGGCTCCTGAGGGCCAAGGCCCAGCTCTGTGGGGCTCTGTGTGCCCTTCAGGCAGAGCCCCACATGGTGGCCGAGCCCTCTCCCAGCACCATGACCTTTTCAAGCCAACATCACAGGCCCAGGCCCAGCACCTGATGAACTCACTGCCCAGATCGCTCTCAGGAGGCTGTTTTCCAGGCCCCGGCCGCGCCCCCTCCCCCCGCACACGCACGCGCACACACACACACCCCGTGGCAGCTGTGCTGTGCTCACCTGAGCTGCCGGCCCAGCTTCTTGAAGAGAAAGCCAATGGTGAGGAGGCTCAGAGTGGGCGGGGTGGAGAGCACACACGCCCGGTAATACTGCAGGTACCTTCTCAGGCCGCTGGTGAAGGCCTATTGGACAGGGGACTGAGAGGACGCAGTGGGCACAGACACCGCCGAGCTCAGGGCTACTGGTGCTAGGAAAGGGCTCAGCTGCCATCCCCTAATCCTGGGCTCTTTTCCCAAGGAATGTGCACCTGTGGGTCCCACCCAGGCACCCCCGTCCAACCGGGAGGTAGGACCGAGCCCTCTGCAGATCCTGTCCCTGCAGCCGGGACCAGCCACACCAGGAAAATGGGCAGGGAGGCCTGGGGATCCTGAAGGGTGGCAGGCACTGACACAGGCTACGGCTGAGGTCTCAGTAACAATGGGCCTCAGCTCAGCTCACGTCTCTGCAGGAGCCGCCAGAACCAGCGTCCACCCCACCAGCGAGGAGATGGCAGGGCTGCCCTCATGTCCCTGATGGTGGACAGTCTGCCTGGGCCAGTTTCCTTCTGTCCCCTACCCCCACCCCTTTTCCACGCCACCTGACCCTCCCCCCTTGGCCGTACCAAAGCATGAAGGACTCGCAGCCCAGCGCCACTGGGCATGGTGCCCTGCCCCCTCTGCCTTCCTCCCGATCAGTGCTCCCAGATGCCCCGCTCAGCTATTTGCCTGTCCCTCCCATGAAGCTGCACGCTGTCCTGGGGGCTGTACCCAGCGCAGGGAAAGTGGGAAGGCTTTCGGGGAGACCTGGTCCAGCCCCGGCTCCTGGAACTCAACTCGCCAAATAGGGGGAAGCCACTGTGTCGATTGCATAAGGTGCACCAGGACCCGGAGAGGAACAGCAGCCTGTGCCCACCCCCCTGCATGGTCCTGCCCCAGGCCCCCCACATGTGGGCCACACCCGCCTCCCACTATCCCAGGCCCCCGTTCCTGAAGGGTAACGGTCAGCTCCAGGCATTACGGGAGACAAGGCTCAGTGGCAGGCAGGCCCTGGGCCCGCTCCCTGCTCCTGTGTGCAGCGCCAGGGGAAGCCGCGCCCCTCCCAGGAGGCCGGCCTACCTGGAACACGAGGCCCTTGCTGCAGGAGGCGTCCAGCACGGGCTGCAGGGAGAAGTGGCTCAGGCGGGCGTAGTGGGTCCCGCACATGGCCACCTCCGAGAGGAGGCTGCTGATGCTCTCCGGCGACGTTCCCGACACGTGGGTGCCCTGCTTCACCCCGAAGGCCTGGGCCGGCTGGAGAGGGCAGAGGGGTCACTGAGGCCTGACGTTCAAGACCCAGGTTCCCAGCCACGCTCTGCCCAGAGCCCAAGACACAGAGCAGAAATCATCCGGATTTTTGGGTGCCAAAAGAAGAGAGGACAGGATATTGAAGGCCTATTTGAAGAAATAATAACAGAAAACTTTCCCTACCTAGTGAAAGAACTAGACTTACAAGTTCAGGAAGTGCACAGAACCCCAAGCAAGAGGAATCCAAAAAGGACCACACCAAGACACATCACAATTAAAATTCCAAGAGCAAAAGACAAAGAATCTTGAAAGAAGCAGAGAAAAACAGTTAATTACCTACCAGGGAGCACCCATACGACTGTCAGCTGATTTCTCAACAGAAGCCATGCAGGCCAGAAGGGAGTGGCAAAAAATATTCAAAGTGATGAACAGCAAGAACCTACCACCAAGATGACTCTACCCAGCAAAGCTATCATTCAGAATTGAAGGTCAGATAAAGAACTTCACAGACAAGAAAAAGCTAAAGGAGTTCATCACCACCAAACCAGGATTATGTGAAATGCTGAAGGGTATTCTTTAAGAAGAGGAAGAAGGAGAAAAAGGTAAATGTAAAAATTATGAACAAAAGACATCAAAGACATACCTACCAACAAGTGAATCTAACAATCAAGTGAATAAAAAGTCTGAAGAACAGAATGGACTGGTGAATATAATAGAATCAGGGACACGGAAAGAGAGTGGACTGACAATTCTCAGGGGGAAAGGGGTGTGAGTGGTGTGGGAAGAGATTGGACAAAAATCTTATACCTATGGATGAAGACAGTGGCAGGGGTAAGGGCATGGGTGGGGTGAGGTATCAGGAGGAGGGGAACTATGGGGGGAGGAGGGGAAGAACACTTGTAATAATATGAACAATAAAGATTTATTATAGGTAAATAAATAATAATAAAATAAAGTATTACGAGGGGGGGGGACGAGACAAGGACAATGCTTGCCCTGGCTGGTGTGGTTCAGTAGGTAGAGCGTTGGCCTGCGGACTGAAGGATCCCGGGTTCAATTCCAGTCAAGGGCACATGCCTTGGCTGCAGGCTCAATACCCAGTAGAGGGCATACAGGAGGCAGCTGACCAATAATTCTCATCATTGACTTTTCTCTCTCTCCCTCTTCCTTCCTCTCTGAAATTAAAAAAAAAAAAAAAAGAAGAGAGATGGTGCGCCAGGATGAAGGAATGAAGGAATGCCAGGACAGTTCCAGGGGAATCAGTCACTGTAACACACAGCCAGAGAAGGAATGAGAGCACCAAGCACCTTACTCTTGTTCGGTTTGTAAAGGTCATTAATAAAGGGACAGTTTCTAGGACTGAAATGAGAATGCATCACTGCCATTGCCGCAGAGCTGGCCCCCAGGCCCACCGGCCTCCTCCTATCCTGTGGAGTGCTCGGGCAGTGACCGCGTGCCAGCACCCCCTTACCTGGCAGAGGGGAAACGTGGCCGACATGACCCCAATCAAGACATTCAGCACGTCCTTCACCAGCTCGCACTCCGGCACCATCAGGGGCTGCGCGGCCGGCGGGCCCCCGCCCAGCGCCTGCAGCTCCCCGCAGCACAGCCTGCAGAAGCTGTCGAAGGCGTCCCTTCCCGCCTCCGTAAGGTAGGGCTCTTCTCTGTGGCCTGGCGGGCTGTGGAGACAGAGCCACAGGCATCTCAGCTACACGAACAAAAGGCAGGAGAAAGTGACTCAATACAACCCAACGTCTAAGAAACAGAGCGGGCGTGTCCGACCAGTGACCAGCTTCGCAGTCAGCTCTGTGGGCTCAGACAATCCACAGAGTCCCACCCCCAAGCACCCAGCGGGCCCAAGGATGGTTCTCAGGATGACCGACACACACGTATGTTTGTCTTAAAAACAAGCACGAGGCTTACACACCCGTGTGCACAGCAGCACATTCACAACAGCCCGGAGATGGAAGCAGCCTGAGTGTCTGCCGGTCGACTGGTGCGTGGATTAAAAACACAACAGCCTAGAGCATTCAGCCTTCAAAAGGAAGGACACTCGGGACCTGCTACCACAGGTCCTTGATGAAGCTTATGCTCGGTGAAATAAGCCAGACAAGGAAGGACTGCTGACTCCACGTAGAGGCTCCTAGATCGGCAGATTCAGAGAATAGGGGGTGGTGCAGGGGCTGGGGGAGGAATGGGAGTGTTTCATGGGGACAGAGTTTCAATTTGGAAGATGGAAAGTTCTGAAGATGGTGGTGGTGGTGCCTACACAGCAATGTGAATATACTTAATGTCACTGAGCAGCTGTATACTTAAAAACGGCAAGAGCGTGCATCTTACACAAAGAATGGACAGAGCAGTCTCATGATTTTTTAATTTTATGTCAGAGAGGGAGAGGAAGAGGGAGATAGAAACATCAATGATGAGAGAGAATCACTGATCGGCTGACTCCTGCACGCCCCCTACTGGGATCCAGCCCACAACCCAGTCCTGTGCCCTGACTGGGAATCAAACTGTGACCTCCTGATTCACAGGTCAACACTCAACCACTGAGCCAGACAGGCTGGGCCAGCACAAAGCAGACACACTGGGTCTTGAGTGCGGCTCTGGGCACTGGGCACCACCAGGGATTTGCCTCACCCAGTCACATCGTTCAAAATCAGCCAAAAACATGGTACATTTAAAAACTTTCCTTTGAAAACTACCAACATCTACTGGAAAGTAGAAAAAAAACTGTCTTTTAAAACCCCTGGGGAAAGTAATTTCTTAGTGAACAGAGGCCAGGAACACAGGCCTTTCTGAGACTTTTCTTCTCGTTTGTACTACCTGACCAGCTCTTTCTCCTCTTCCCAAAAGAGCCTGGGGTTCAGATCTAGCAACTCAACAGGCTCCAAGCTGCTGGACATTCTAACGTTGACGGGTGTCGGACCCCAGGACATGTTCACCTCCACGTCGGGCGTGGAAGGTACAAGAACAATATCTCTCAGAATCGTTCAAATCACGGTGTTTTAACTGACAGTGCCGTCATGGGCTCTCCCATCACTCAGGACTCTCTGAGGGCAGGGGCAGCACAGGGCTCCTGCCCACTCCTGCAGGCTTGTCCCAGCACCCCTGTGCCCTCCGACCCCGGACTCAGAGCCGAGGGAGAAAAGCCCAGGCAGGACACTCTAAGGTCCTGTCCCCAGAGGACTCGCCCCGAAGAAGGAAGTGGCTTCCCCAGAACGGCGGCACCTGTGGAGCCTCGGGGAGACACAGGTGGGTCCGCCGCAGGCCCGGGCAGGGGCGGCGTACAGCCCAGCCGTGCCGGCAGCCAGCTCTGCTTCTGGTGGGGAAAAGCTTCTGTAACTGCCCACAGCAGGAACCAGGGGCTGGGGTTTAAATGGAAACAGTTCTAATGACTCAGCAATAACCCTGCGTGCGAGCCCTCCCTCCCCTCTCCGGGAGGTTTCCAGACACAAGCCCGTGGCAGAAAGACAGGCCCCCTGGCCCCGGCTGAGTGACCACGGAAACACTGCCGCCACCACAGCGGCCAGCCGGAGAACAGCGCTCCCATCCTTCCCGACGACGGACAGCAGTGGGCACAGTGAAAGCTCCCTCTGCACCCCAGCCCCGACCGCACCCTGCAGCCGACCTCCACTCCTCAGCCTGGAACCTCGTGGTGAGGACATGGCTCTGCGCCGGCCGGCAAGTGTGACCTGCAGGCGCTGGCCCACGGGAACCTCCGTGAAGCTGAAGTCCTTGCCTCGGCCCCAGCATCTCCCAACGCCCAGAACAGAGAATTCTGTGCACCAGCCACGACCGAGACCCCAGGTCCCCAATCCCGTCAGCGGCTTCTGCCAGCAGCCCCGCCCCCGGCTCTCTGGGTAACGCACACTCAGGGGCCGGGGAGGGCCTAGGCGCACGTACCAGCCGACCTGCTCCCAGCACCGCCGCCTGCTGGCCTCATAGGTGAGCACCGCGTCCCACGGGTCGATCTCCGGGGTCGTGCCGTGCTCAGACTGGGAGTCGGGAGTCAGATTGGATGCCGACTGGAACCCTTCGTCTTCAGACGGATCCACGCTCTGAGGCACCTGGAGGCCAGCCAAGGAGAAGACACCACGTGTGCCTTTGGCCTAAGCTTTCCCCATGATGGGAATTCCAGGCCTTCACACGTTTACTCACACGGGAAAGACCTGACCGTGTTTCCTGTTTCTTTCTTTTTCAATATATATTTTTATTAATTTCAGATAGAAAGAGAGAGATAGAAACATCAGTGATGAGAGGAAATCACTGGCTGCCTCTGCAAGCCGCCCCCCCTCCCCCAGCCCCCACTGGAGACCCAACCCGCAACCCGGACATGCACCCTTAACTGGAATTGAACCGGGGACTCTTGAGTCTGCAGGTGGACGCTCTATACACTGAGCCAAACTGGCTAGGGCTCCTGTTTCTCTTGAGCACGTATGCACTACAGTGCTTCTGCCTCCATTAAATAATTTAAGAAGGCTCTCAATTTCCAATTTCCCTCAACACGTAAGCCTCCATATAACTCACGATGAAACGCAACCACTCTGGAAATTCCGATTTGGGGAAATCATGCGAGCAACACAAAGATGTACGTGGACCGAGGTGTTCAGCATTGGGTATGTCTGTCTCGCAGTGTGGAATCCAGTGAGCAGCGACAGCGCATCTCTTCTTTCGGGAGCGCTCGCAGAACCACGAAACGCACAGTCCAACGCGCACGAAAAGCCGCGTCACAGGTGAAGCATGTAGAACTGCACGTATAGTACGAGCAAACATCTGCCACGTGTGGCTACTGAGCACCTGAAGTGTGACTTATGTGACTGAGAGACTGGACTTTTTATTGCACTTTAATTAACTCACGTTTAAGCAGCACCTCTAGAGAACTAGGACTTAACAACACGCCCTGTCAGGCCACCATGAAAAGCAGCATTTGGCCGAAACCAGTTTGGCGAAGGTCCGGGTTCGATTCTGGCCAAGGGCATGTACCTTGGTTTGGGGCACATCCCCAGTAAGGGGTGTGCAAGAGGCAGCTGATTGATGTTTCTCTTTCATCGATGTTTCTAACTCACTATCCCTCTCTCTTCCTCTCTGTAAAAAAAATCAATAATTAAAAAAGCAGCATTTGCCTGGCTTACAGCTGGGCAGCAGCGTCCCTGCCCAGGTGGTGGGTACCAGTGGCCCCACCTCGCCACAGCTCAGCCTCCCAGTGGCCTGGACTCCGGAGCTTCCTGTGACAAGAGGGAGGTCAAGGAGGCAGGAGCTGCGCTTACCTTGATGGCCAGCCCAGAGAGGTCTGCGCTGTCCGGCACGGGGGGCAAGTCCAGCCGGACATCCATGTCGTAGGTGCGGCTGTGCACGAGGGCTCCGAACAGCGAGACGCGGGTGTCTCTCTCGAACCTGTCACCACAAAGGTCTCCGTAGGAGAAGAGGCGGGCGGTGGGCAGGCCGGTGCCCGGCGTCGCCTCCATCACCTGAAGCGCTTTCTGGATCATGTCCTGGCACAAGTACTCCTCTCTGGAGATCAGCGACTGCACGTCCATCTCAAACACGCTCAGGTCGTAGCAGTCGTAGCCGCCGTAGGGCACGTTCCTCCCCACGTGCTTGTTGTTCAGGAAGTAGTCCCGCCGGCGGGGCAGTGGCTGCGGGGGCCCGGTGCCCGCCAGCCGGACCAGCAGGTCCAGGGCCGAGTCCAGCTCCGCCAGCGGGCAGCCAGGGGCCGCCTCGAGCTGCTCCACCAGCGCCTCCAAGCGGTCGGCCTCGGGCCCCAGGCCGCCCACGCGCAGGTCAAATGACAGCATGAGGATCTTGTTCTTCACCGGGAGCCTCGAGGGGTCGGGCGGCCGCCCCGGAGGCTCCTCCTGGAAGAGGTGCGTGAAGAGGGCGTTGTAGGCCACCCGCTTGAGGCTCTGCTTCGCCCGCCGGCGGCTCGGGCCGCGCTGGCCCAGGTGAGCCCTGGCCGCCGGCAGGAGGGCCTCGCACAGGTCGTCGAACAGCTGGGTGATGCTGGCCATGCCCACGCCGCCGGCTCCCGGGCCTGATAGCCGCAGGGCGGGGCCGGCGGGGCTGCCGGGCGGGCGGCCGCCTCAGCCTCAGCCGCGGCCGGAGGCTCAGCACCGGGGCTGCGGCGGGGTCCGCGGCGGCCCTGTCTCCCTGCCGGGCACCAGTGCGGCCCGTCAGCCCGCAGCTCCCTCTGAACCGTGACAAGCCGACGGGGACGCGGGCGGGCGGCACACGGAGGACACGCCGGCCCCGCACGCTCCCGCGGCGGCCGGGAGAGGCGCCGCCCGCGGACGGGGCGTGAGGGTCGGGAGGGTCCGCGGGGTCAGCCCCGCACGGCGGTCGCGCACCGGGCCGGACGCAGAACCGCGCGCGCCTCTGCAACTCCCGCCGCCGCGCGTCACCGCCGAGCGACCCGCAAACCCGCCGGGCTGGCGCACCGGAAGTGCGTCACGAGAGGGCGGGACCTCTGGTTATAGAGCACTTCCGGTTTGGAGCGGCGTTCCGCGGGTGGGGAAACGGAGGCCCCGTTCGGCGGACACAGTAACGGAGGCGGAGGCGGACTTTCGCTTAACTGTTTACTGACCGGCGTGCAGGGAGCCTGGGCGGGGCCTCCGTGGAGAGGCGAGTGCGGAGGGCCCTGGGCGCCACAGCCCCCTGAGCCCGCAGCCCCGGGCAGCCGGGTGCTGCTGAACGATTCACCCCCAGCTCTTTGGGGGCTGCTCTGCAGCGTCATTGCTCGGTATACATACTCCCACCCTGGCCGGTTTCAAGCCGTAGGGTCCCAGCACTCAGGCAGGAGCTGCGAAGAGGCGCGTGATCACCAGGGCTGTGCCAGTTCCAAGACGGGAACCCCTCGCCCCCAAGAGCCCTCTCCTCACGGAGCTCTGAACCAGGACGGTCCCCAGGGCCCCAAGCACTGGGCCTGACCTTGCTCCCAGTCTCACCCGCCACCTGCAGCATCTTCCACTGCGGCTCCAGCTGCCCTCGCAGGCGCACCAGGGCCCGCGTGTCCTCTGGGGAGGCCATGCCTAAGGGGCCCAGGCCAGGGGGTGCCTCTCCATGCAGCACCTGGGCCAGGATGCCTGCAAGCTGTGGGGTGGATCCCTGGGTCAAGGGCGGAGAGGAGAGCTGTGAGTCACCGGCCTCTCCCCCATTCCCACCGCACGGCACATCTGCTCTGCTCAGCTCACCTCATTCACAAGGGCCAGGACCCGGCACCCCACTGGGACCCTCAACAGAGAGGCCAGGAGTGCAGCTTGGGGGGCCCGCAGGCCATGGTCCGGTCCCAGAGCCAGCAGCACCAGGTCAGGCCGGAAGCTGTAGGCCAGGGGCAGCACCAGGGCCAGGAGGAAGTTCAGGAACCCGACAGCTGTCTGTGGAGGAACAGACTGCGTGACCCCATCCCCTCCTCCAGGGGACACCCCTCCTGCCATCAGGATGTCGGGAAGGGTCGGTGAAGGCCAGGGGCCTGGCCCTTATGGTGATACCAGTCAGCAGCCACTGCCTGGCCCCCGGACACCACCACTTACCCCCGGCAGTGGCATGGAGACGTGGAACATGGACAGGGCGGCTGCCTCCTTGCCCCTGATGCTCAGCCACAGAGTCGTCCTTTCAGGGGAGAGTGGTCACACGGACGTGTGTGTGTGTGTGTGTGTGTGTGTGTGTGTGTGTGTGTGTGTGATGCACTCACCCTCCAGAACAGGGACGACAGAGGCGAGGTGCAGGAGAGTACAGGGGTGGGGTGCTGAAAGTGCTGACCCTGTGCTGGAGACCCTCCTGGCCTTGTCCCCAGGGCCCACCCACCCATCTCTCCTGGGGACTGAGTGACATGTCCACCCCCACGCAGGAACCCAGGGGGCATACCCATCGTCTGCCAGGTGTGAGGGCCGGTCCAGCCGTCCCACGGCCACACAGAGAAGCCTAAGGAGGAGTTGGTCCCACACAGGCTGTACTCACCCACCGGCAGTCCATTCCCGAGCCCTCCCACTGTGGCTGCCGGGGCAGAGGTACCCAGGAACCACGCCCTCAGAGACCAAGGCCAGCCCGCCAAGACGCTCACCTCTGAGCTCCCCGGGAAAGGCTGCGCCGAACGGCCACATCCAGAGTGGCAGCTGCGGCAGAGGCCGGGGCGGCTGCAATGCCGCTGCTCACCTGCAGGGTGAAAGACAGCCATGGAGAGCAACCCCCAAACCAGGCAGACAGACCCATCCGTCCCTTCTCTCGGTCCCGGTCTCCATGGCTGTCATCTGGACACTCTGAGGTCAAACTGCTCCACTTTGGAAAATGAGGTGCTTAAAGCTGCCCTCTATGTCACCGCCTTTCCTCTCAGCCAAAGAGCTCTTAGCAGAGGGGACTGAGGGTGCACCCGTCACCCTCTTCCTAGGGGCTCTTCTGGGAGGGGTCCTGGGCACAAGGCAACACTCACATACCCACAGGTCTGCACCCCCCAGCCCTCCCCTGTCCCGGGCCCTGCCCCAGCTCCACAGCCGCCTCAGCCCCTCCAGGTGTCCCCACCTTCCCATCCAAGATCCTATCCAAAAGGTACAGGAGCTTCCCAAGGGCATTGGTGGCCTCGTCCGTGGCCAGGGCCTCGTGTAGGCTGCGGTAGAAAAACAGGAACACGGACACAGGGCGACACGGATCACAGGTGAGTCCACAAGGGTGCATGGCGGACACAGCCTCACCCGTCTGCCCAGGCCCACTCTGCCCACCTGACCCAGGACTGTGTCTCCTCCTCCAGGGCTGACCCCTCCTGATGGGGGATGTCAGGGGGCAGGACCGGAGCAGTGTCCAGTGAAGTCAGAGCCACAGCAGTGCGCACAGTGGGCAGCCCGTCCAGGAGGGCGCTCGGGGCCGCCGCCATGGCCTGGGCCGCTGCAGTCTTGGATTCGGGCCCCTCAGACAGCAGAGGCGAGGGCCTCTCCTCTGGGGAGCGGGTGCTGGGGCTCAGGACGGGGGCCGAGTCTAGGGGGTCGTTGAGAGTCACAGCCATTCGTGAAAGCCCAGGGCACAACCCCACCACCCGGCCCAGGCCACACCGACCTTGCTGCTGGAGGCTCGTCCAGTGAGGGGCCTGGGCTGCCCGGACACTCTGGATGGATTCCAGGGCGCTGCAGGGAGAGACAGGCGTGGTGAGACCTGGCCTTGCGCCCCCAGCCTTCCCGCCTCCCTCCAGCCCTTCACACCTGCGGTGTGGCACCATGGGCCCTGACAGGGGCGGGGCAGGGTCGCCCAGCAGGGTCTGCACTGTCATGCACACAGACTCAGAGAGCGACTCCAGGTTGTAGCCACCCTGGAGGGAGAGAGGAGGCCAGAGGTGTCACCGGGGAAGAGATGTCACCAGGGCAGAAGGCCCCTCCGACAGCACCTCGGTCCCCGGTCCCTGGACCCTCCCTGCCAGCCACAGTCACCTCCAGCAGGGCGCAGACCCGGCCTCCGGCCAGCGCCTGCAGCAGCTGCGTGAGGTGGGCGAAGCACTCCGGCGTGGCCTGCATCTGCCCCTGGAACCAGAGCCGGGTAAGGTGGGGGGCTGGCCATGGACACCACAAGCCCCCCAGGTCAGGCCAGGCCCTCACCTCAGGGTCCCCGATCGCTGAGTCAAACCCTGCGGAGACCAGCACCAGCTCCGGATCAAACTGCAGGCAGGCCGAAGGGGAGGGAGTGAAGGAGGCCCAACAGAGAGCCCTCCCCCCACAGGATTTGTTCTTCTCTGATGGGGTGGGAGGGGGGACACCCCCACATAGTCACCTCAAAAGCCAGGGGGAGCAGCACGTGCAGGAAGGCGGCCAGGTAGTCGGCATTTCCCATCCCAACCTGCAGCCATGAGGGTCAGGGTTGGGCCCAGAAGGGCGAGTTGTGGCATCTCCCCCCTCATGCCTGGGCTCGGGGGGGGGGGGGGGGGGGGGTGACTCTGGAAGGACACCCTGAACTACACTCAGGAGGCCTATTGGGGAGGGGGGATCTGGGTGGGAGGTGGGGTGTCGGAACCCACCCATTGTCCTCTGATTGAGACATTGGTAGCTGAAGCAACTCCCACCTGTCAATCTTAGTAAACCCTTGCTGATTGGCTACTATTGGAGTTGCCCGCCTCTATGGGCGGATCCCAAAGTCTTGATAAAAGGGATAAGCCAGGCCGGGCGGTGTGTAGTCCTCCCCTGGAGCTGGGCTCCCTCCTGGCCCCCAATTAATACTTTTCCAGTCTCTCATTTGTGTGCGGCCTCCTCCAGAACCCTGAACCACCAGGACTCGAAGGGGTTCCCCCGGGGGGGGAGAGGCGGGGATTAGGGGTTAGGCCCCCGGCGGGTGAAGGTGGCACCTGGTTCCAGGGCAGGTTGACAGTGAAGCCGAGGCCCGGCCCCTGCCCCACGGCCGACGCGTCAGACTCCGGCAGGTAAGGCCAGAAGCGCCCGTGCTCGTAGCGGTGCCAGGAGAAGTAAAGGACGCTGTGGGTAACCGCCGGGGTCAGAGTTCAGAGGTGACCCTCAGCCCCACTGCTCCCCGCAGAGCTCTGACCCCGGAGCACTCAGCTGTGTCACCCGGCTGTGTCACCCGGCTAGGACTCTCCCAGGCCAGGCCGTGAGCCCCAAGAGTGGGGTCCCAGGGAAGGGTTTCTCTCCGTCCCACCCCTCCCCACCCCAGCTCACCTGGGGTCGTCCTCAAAGGTGTACTGGATGCCCTGGCCGTGGTGGATGTCCCAGTCCACGATGAGGATCCTGCGGACAGAGGGCACTGGGGTCACCACGGGCAGGCCTCCCCTCCAGGCCAGGAGCCCGGCCAAGCTGGGAGGGGGCGGGGTTAGGGGAAAGGGTGGGAGGACCCCGCCTGCGGCCGGCCCAGCACGCACCTGCGCAGCCCGTGCGTCTGCTGGGCGTGTCTGGCCGCAATGGCCACGTTGTTGAACACGCAGAACCCATTGGCGGCAGCCCGCTGGCTGTGGTGCCCGGGAGGCCTGAGGGTGAAGGAGCGGGCCCTTCAGTCACCCTCTGCCCACACGTGGGGGCAGCCAGGGGAGGGGGCGGCTCTCAGGCTCTCACCTCACCAGGGCGAGCCCGTTCCGCACCGCTCCGGTCAGCACGGCGTCCACCAGCTGCAGCCCGGCCCCCGCGGCCAGCCGGGCGCTGTGGAAGGTGCTCTGGGGGCAGAGGTGCAGGTGAGCCCCACCGGCTACCCCTCACCCTCTGCCCACATCGGTGTCAGGCTGCAGGGTACCGGGTGCTGAACGGAATGGGCCAGGACAGTCCCAGGTGCCAGCTGCAAGGTGTGGGCACGTCCATGAACACAGGACTTGGGCCAGGTTGGCAGCCACGGGCACAGGCATGGGCATGGGGATGGTGGGTGGGCCCCAGGGCACGAACCGGGTGGAAGTAGACGGCATCGAACTGCCCAGACAGCGCCCGGAGCTCCTCCGTGCCCAGGGCCTGAGTCCCCCGCAGCAGGGCCACGTACTCCGGGCTGCAGAGGGGCAGGGAGGCCAGCAGCAATGGGGTGGGGAGGAGAAAAAGGGGCTGGACCCTGAGGGGCCGCCCCCCTCATGCTCCCTCACCCACCCCCCACCCACACGATGGTGAAACAGAGGCACTGTGAGTCCTGGCAGCTGGGTGGGCTCAGGTGTGGCTGAGGGGTCCCACCTGTGCACCAGGCCCAGCTCTGCCTCCGAGGCCTCTCGGGCTGCCACCCGCAGGCACCTCTGCTCCAGGCCCCGCTGCTGCAGGAGCCCCAGGGCGGAGGTCAGGCGCTCCGGACGCTCGATGGCACACTCGGGGCTGTGTGGACACAGGGCTCAGACTCCAGTCTCTACCCCGCCGCCGCCACCACCCCACCTGGGCCAGGGGCCACTCACTCCTCCCACAGCAGCCGGGGCGCCGTCATGTCCTGGTGGTACACCAGGGCGGTCCGCATGGCCCGCCGGGGTGGGAGGGCCCAGCGGGAGGGCCCAGCGGCCTCGCTGGAGGTGCCTGCGCTGCCCTCCCGCCGTGCAGCCCGGGAGCAGCGCCGCGCGGGGCGGGTGGCGGGACGCTGCGCCCGGCGGGAAGGGGGCCACAGGCTGCGCTCGGAGGGACGGAGAGAGCGAGGTCCACGGGCGGCCCCTGGGCCCGGCTTCCGGCTCCTCGGCCCGCCCTTGCCCCGGCCCGGCTCCGCCTCCTCCCCGGGAGCTGGAGACCGAGGGCCTGCGGTGAGAGCAGGCGGCCGGCCCCGGTGTCTCCCGGCCCCGCCTGCCCCGCAGCCCGGGCTCCGGGGAGCGCGGGGAAGGAGGCGGGGCCGGGGCCTCCGGAGCCAGGCGGGCAGAAGGCGCCGTCCGGACCTGAGCAGCCCCTGCGCCCGGCTGCCCGGGTTTAGAGCGTCATCAGGTGGTGGCTCCGTTCCCCACCCGGCACCTGCCCGGGCTGCGGGTTTGATCCCTGGTCCGGTGCGTACGGGAGGCAACCGATGGCTGTTTCTCCCTCTCTCTCTCTAAAATCACTTTAAAATTTTTTAATAAGGGATGCCCGCCGGTGTGGGCATGGACCCGTGCACGGAGGCGGGTTTGGGGCGCCATCCCCAGCTCCTCTCGCAGCGACGTTGCTATCTCTCCCTCTCAATAAAAGTCAATAAAAACATGTTTTTAAAAAGTGACAGGATCCCATTAGCTCCAGGAAGGCCCCTGTGAAGAGCGGACCAGTGGGAAGGTCAGGGCAGTGGTCGGGAAGCTGGACCCCAGACGCGGGAGGCGGGGCCCCGAAAGGCGGGTGGAGCGGGAGGACCGGGCGAGGGGTGAGGGACCGAGTGGTGGGTGAGGCGGCAAAGGAGGCGGCACGGGCGCAGCCGCCGAGCACGACGGCCAGAAGGCAGCCAAGGCGCCGCGGGCCTGAAACCCGGGAGCTCCGGCCTGGGCCCGGGGCGGGTCTCCAGTGGGCGGGGCCAGGGGCGGGGCGGGGCTCTTCTTTCTATGAGGGACGTGGGCGGGGCCTGGGGCCTGGGAGGCGGGGCCTGGAGCGGGTCTCTAGGAGGGGAGGCTATGGGGCGGGGCTCTGGGAGCGGTGGGCGGGGCCTGTGACTGGTATTAGGGGCGTGGTCATGGGCGGGGCTGTAGGAGGCGAGGCGTGGGCGGGGCTCTGGTAGCAGTGGGCGGGTCTAGGGGCGGGGTTGTAGGAGGTGAGGCGGGGGCGGGGCCTGCGGCGGGGCGGGGGCTCTTGGGGCGGGGGGCGGGGTCGTGGGCGGGGCTGTAGGAGGCGAGGTCCTGGGGCGGGATCATGGGCGAGGCCCGGGGCGGATCTGTAGGAGGGGAGGCCATGGGGCGGGCGGGGATCTGGGCGCTGGGACCGTGGAGCGGGACTGCGCCCTGTCCTGTTCCTCAGTTGCCCCGTCATTGCGGGGTTCTGGGGAGACTCCAGTTGGGTCACTTGAGGTCAGGCGCCCGCCAGTTACCGCGGCCAGGGAACGGCGTGCTCTGATTGGCCGCCCGCGACACGTGGCCACGAAGGCCCGTGGGCGGGGAGGACCCTGTTTGGATTCGGAGGAGGGTCCCAAAGGCGCGGAGGCCTCGGGTCCGAGGGCCGGTGGCCGCTGTGGGAACTCAAAGGACCGCCTTTGGCTGGACCCCCTGCGCGTGCGCCCAGCCCGACCCCGGCCGAGACCCGCCCCACCCGCCCGCCCCGCTCTGGGCCGCCGGCGCCGCGGGCAGGTCGGGGCGCCTGGGCAGCCTGGACCCCGGGGGCTCCGATCGGAGGCGGCGCTCGCAGACGGCACGTGGCCGGCAGAGGGCGCCCCGGGCTTGGCGATGATGCTGGGATGTGGCCGTGGGCGGGGCTGGAGGGTCTCCGGAGACACTGGGATGGCAGTTCCTCCCTGGGAGCCTGGCCTTGGAGGGCGCAGGGCGCTTGGACCCTAACCACAACCCCACTCCCATCAGGCTGCCCCAGGGTCAGGCTCCGGAGTCCACGCCAGGAGAAAAAGGTCTTCACCCTAAAGGGAGAAGCCCAGTGTGGGGGCTCTGGCCGGGCTCCCCGGCACGGAGCAGGGGAAGCGGGCACCAGCTCTGTGGCCTGGGAACGGGCCTCCTTCCTCTGCCAGGCGGCAGCTCAGAGGCCGGAGGCGGGGGCCCCGCCGAGGAATCAGGAAGTGAAGCCACAGCGGGAACTCTACAAAAGGGTTTATTTCCTCCCAGCCCCGTGGGCACCACAGGGACAGTGTACATTCCAGCTGGGCTTGCAAGATCGTCCCTGAGTCAGCGCCTGCGCCCTTCCTGTCCTTCCTCCCAGCCCTGAACCGGGCCTCGCCGACCAATCAGGCAGGGCCCGAGGCCAGGCTGCATCCCACGCATCGCCCCGCCCCCCGGGCTCTGCGGCTTCCGGTGCACCCAGCTGAGGGTCCGCTGCGGAGCCAGCCCCAGGTCAGGAGGGTGCCCCTGCAGGAAGTCTGCATGCTCCTCCAGGGTGAGGCCGAGCCGGGGACCTGGGAGCAGGGCCGCAGGCCTGGGGGATGGAGCGCATGGAAGGAGGAGTCTCCTGGGATGCAAGCTCCAGCCGAGGTCACAGGATTTCCCCCCTTCCAGGCGGAAGTGCCAGCCAGGTTCCCCGAGACGTCCGGCCACCCCCTCCGGACCGGGGGTCCTCACAGGGATGTCTCCTTGGAGAACTTGGCCGCCAGCTGCCGGGGAGGCCTGAAGCTGAGCACCTCTTTGTACGTGTCACCTGGGGTGGGGCGAGAGCCGGAGAGACGGGAGTCACCCATCAGAATCAACACACACACATCCTATCTGATAAAGAGGGAATATGCTAATTGCCCAGCACTCCGTCACAAGAATGGCTGCACCCACAACTGAGGCCAAGTTCCCTTAAGGAGGGTTAATGAGCAGTCAGCAGGCACCTGAAGCCATGCCCTCCTCCACCCCCATGGAGCTTGACAGGGAACCTCAGGCCATGCGCTCCCCCCACCCCTACCCAGCAGGGTTTGACAGGTGACCTCAGGCATGTCCCCCCATCCTGGTGGCTGGCCAGGGGATCTGAGGCTATGCCCCCTGCCAGCGGGGCTTGACAAGGGTAGGACTGGCCAGGTCTGGATCTAACCCAATGGGGGGGGAGGCAGCCAGGTCTGGGTCTCGCTCGATTTTGAGGTGCATGTGGGTAGGTGGGGACTTGACTCTGGGTCCCTCTTTTATTTTATTTTTAATTTTTAAATATATTTTATTGATTTTTTACAGAGAAGAAGGGAGAGGGATAGAGAGCTAGAAACGTCGATGAGAGAGAAACATGACCAGCTGCCTCTTGCACACCCCCCACCGGGAATGTGCCCGCAACCAACGCACATGCCCCTGACTGGAATCAAACCCGGGACCCCTCAGTCCACAGACCGACGCTCTATCACTGAGCCAAACCGGTTTTGGCTGGGTCCCCCTTTTAATGTGCACGAATTTCGTGCACCGGGCCACTAGTACTAGATAAATAGAATCAACCCTCACAGTTCACGCCACTTCGGACACCAACGACCCAAGGTAAGTGCTGGGCCTAGCCCCCGGAGCTCACGCTGAGCAGCAGTGAGTCCAAGGAGCGTCCACTCAGGGTGGGATGGGGAGAGCTCCCGGCCCACACCACTGACTCAGCACCGATGCCCCCAAACATCAGGGTCACAGGTCATGGCTGGGGTGTGGGGGCCGGGTGGGCTTCTCCGCCCCAAACCCATACTTCGTCCCAGGCCGCAGGGCTGTCCGGCCACCCGATTTGTCCTCAGTGACTCTCCACCCTGAGGGGCTCCTGGAACTCAAAACCGCGGCCGCTGGGGTGGCCGGGCGGGCTGCGGCCCCACGGCCTGCCTCTGCGAACAGGGACGTCCCAGGAACGCAAACCTCGTCCTGTCAGGCAAGTGGCTGCTCAGGGTCCCACCAAGACACACGGATTCTCTGGAGCAAGTGTCCCTCCTGAGGCTTACGTGAGAGGACGAACCTCCGAGTACCTCACCAGGTGGCCGTGTTCCCTGAACTGTGTGCCTGCGGTCAGCCCTCCAAAGGGGAGGTGGAAAGAAAAAAGAAAGAAAAACAAAAAACAAAGATGGTATGTGTGTGTGTAGGGGGCCTGCTCTGCTCGCCTCTGGCCAGTCTGCAAATGGACAGGGTCTGCCCAGCCGGGTGTAGCTCAGGAGTTGAGCATCTACTCAGGAACGAAGAGGTCACGGGTTCAATTGCCCGTCAGGGCATATGCCTAGGTTTCAGGTTCAGTTCCCAGTGGGGGGCGTGCAGGAGTCAGCCGATCAGTGATTCTCTCTCATCATTGATGTTTTTATCTCTTTCTCCCTTCCTTTCTGAAATGAATAAAAATATATTTTAAAAAAATAAAAATAAAAAATAGGTTCTGCTCAGCCTGCCCCGGCCGCTCACTCTCCCCTGGCTGAGGGGGTGCCAGTCTGGGGGACACAGGCACGCCACAAGCCCAATCAGGACGCGTTGCCCTTAGTGGGGGCCTGTGAGGTGCCCCCTCCCCGCCTGAGGCAGGGCTGCCCACACGGCGAAGGTCATGAGAAGAGGCCACGGCTGCTGTGTGGACCTTTTCCCTGGGGAAACAGGAAGTGATGAGGGTTTGCATCCTGACCCAGGGCTCGGCCACAAGAAAGGCCACGTGTCCACCATGGTCTGCAGCCAAAGCAACACTCTCATGGTCTGTGTGGGCGGGGACCACAGGGAGGATCCAGCGGCTGGCGGTTTTCAGATCTTTTTTTAGCAACAGAAAACTTTCACCAAACCAAACCAAATGCATAAGCACAAAGCACAGCACAGACAAGGGTGGTGTCCCTGCTGGAGGCACCAAGGAACCCAGGGGGTCCTACGGAACGTAGTTTGGGAACTGCAGCCCCACCCCTGCCCCCTAGTGCAGGGCTCAGGCCCTGGATCCGAGGCAAAGCCAGAATGGGGCCTGGCACACCGTGGCAGCCGTGACCCATGGGGGCAGGAGAGCTAACGGCTGCTCCCACACATCCCTGCACCCAGGCTGGCCCTGCAACCACACAGACAGCTGACCTCGCCCTCGCGGCCCGCCCTTCTGCAGTGCAGACGGACAAGGCCAGTCCCAGCGCGGGCATCAGGACCACAGCAGAGGGAGGCCTGGGGACTGAGGCTGAGCAGGGCTAGTGTGACCTTCAGAAGCAAGAGGAAGGGCCCTGGGTGGAAGGGAGTGCCCAGCGCAAAGCCTGAAGGTGCAGGTAGCCCTAGGGAGGGGTGGGAACTGCTCAGGGGGGCTGTAGGAAGCAGGCAAGGAGGGGTGAGGGGCTGTGGCTGGCTGGGGGGCTGGTCCCACTGACAGGAAATGAGGGGCATGCAGTTATCCAGGTGAAAGGGATCATGAAAGGGGCAAGGACAAGTTCAAGAGGCGTGAGCACCCTGGCCAGTGTGGCTCAGTGGTTGAGCATCAACCTGGGAACCAGGAGGTCATGGCTAAGGGCTTGATCTCCAGCAGGAGGCGTGCGGGAGACATCAATAGGTGATTCTCATCCTTGATGTTTCTCTCTCTCTCCCTCTCCCTTCCTCTTTGAAATCAATAAAAATATTGAAAGAGCCCTGGCCAGTATGGCTCAGTGGATAGAGTGTCAGCCTGCAGACTCAAGGGTCCCAGGTTCGATTCCAGTCAAGGGCATATACCTTGGTTGTGGGCACATCCCCAGTGTGGGTGTGCAGGAGGCAGCTGATCCATGTTTCTCATTGATGTTTCTATCTCTCCCTCTCCCTTCCTCTCTGAAAAAAAAAAAAAATCAATAAAAATATATATGTGGTTTTTTTTTAATTGAAAAATACTAAAAGAAAAATAAGAGATGTGAGCAGAGGCCTGGAGACTGGGCGTGCAGGGGCGCCAGGGTGGCCCGGGTCTGTGCCCTTCGTCCTTATTCAGCCAGAGGTCACCTTGGCCAGGACGCCCTCTGACCTCCGAGCGAGCCCAGGGCACGGCGCCCCGCCCCCGCAGGCCCTGCCGGAGCCCCACTCACGCCTCCACTCGTCCAGCGTGCGGTCCACGTCGTCGAAGGACTCGTCGTACTTCTGGGCCCGGGGCTCGTCCTCGGCCTCGTGCAGCGACTCGAAGTAGGGGTGGGTCAGCGCCTCGGCCGCCGTCACCCGCTGCTCCGCGTCCAGCACCAGCATCTTCTCCAGCAGGTTCACCGCTGCGGGGCGGGCCGTCAGGCTGGCAGCGCGGAGGGCCACACGGGCGCGTGCACACACACACATACACGCACGCACACACACACACTTGCACATGCACACACACGTGCACATGCACACACATACACATACACACATGCACACAAGTGCACGTACACACACATGCGCGTACACATGCACACACATACACATACACACACTCATGCACACGCGCACATATATGTGCACACGTGTGCGCACATACACACACCGCGTGCACACACACACACGCACGCGAGCACACACACGTGCCTCAGGTCACGGACCCTCCTCCCCCCCCCCCCCCCCCGCTCCCCCGAGGCCCGCCCTACCCAGAGGGCTGGCGTTGGTCAGAATGGAAGCAAAATCCTTCTTTTCCAGCTCAGGGAGGCCCTTCATGTAGTTCTTGGCCTGTGTGGGCGGGAAGGGTGAGGGCCCAGCTCCGGGGGGGGGGGGGGACCCCCCCAGGCTCCCCAGCCCCGCCCAGCTCCCCACTGACGTCCGCGCTCTGCAGCCTCTGCACAAACTCATCGGGTGGCGTGCCCGTGACCTTCAAGATCTCCTTCAGCTGGTCCAGGTCTCGGCCGAGCTCAGGAGCACCGTGTGGGCCAGAAAGCAGGGCTCCCCGCCCTCCCTCTCCCCACCCCACCCCAGTGGGACAGTGCCACCCCCTCCTCCAACCCCCCCCCCGCCCACCCGGCCCCACGGGTGTAGGATACGGTCATTGCCCTTGAACAGCGTCTTCCCCGTGATCATCTCGGCCATGATGCAGCCCACAGACCAGATGTCCACTGAGACAGAAGCCCCTCATCAGGGCTGTGAGCCAGGGGGGTGGGGGAGGGACGCACAGCGGGGCCCATGGACACACGGGCCATCTGGCCGGCCACACCTCCTGGCTCCATCCCAGCTCAGCAGCGTGGGCGGGAGGGGGGGACAGGGGGAGTCCAGCCGGAAGGTGAGGCCGCAGTGGCCCCGTCCGGGAGCCTCTCACCTGTCTGTGTGTAGTGCATCCAATTCAAGATGACCTCAGGCGCCCGGTACCACCGAGTCACCACGTACCCCGTCATCTCGCTGTCCGCCTGCCTGGCCAGCCCGAAGTCCAAGATCTGCAGCCAGATCAGGAGCGGGGGCAGAGGGGCCCCGGGAGTGAGTGGGCCAGCCTGCGGGCCTGGGGGTCCCGAGCGGCTGGGGACTCTGGGCTCCTGCCCGCCCTCCAGGGCCTGAGGTCACAGCCACAGACCCTCCAGCCTCCCCTGGGCCCTCCCCACGGCCAGTGCACCCAGAGCTCACCCTCCACCCTCAGGACCAGACACCAAGCGCCTCCTCTCCCTGGTCCTCCACTCCCCGCCCCCTGGATCCTGGCCGGCACCTTTGGGAGGGTCTTGTTTTTTGTTTTGTTTTTTTAATTGATTTCAGAGAGAAGAAAGGAGAGGGATAGAGAGAAAGAAACATCTGACGAGGGAGAGCCACACATCCCCACACTGGAGATGGAGCCTGCAACCCGGGGACGAGCCCTGACCCGGAACCGAACCGCGACCTTCGAACTGCGCCACACCAGCTGGGCTGGGAAGGTCTCTTAGCCCTGCCCTAGCTCAGGAAGGAAGGACCACCACCTGCCCCCCTCACCACCTCAAGCAGAGTGTGCCATCTGGCCAACAGCGCCTGACCACCGCCTCAGGCTGATCCCTCTGCCTGGCGGTGGCCAGCCTGCCTCCTGGTCTGGGGACGAGGGCGTGGCAGGCAGACGGGCAGGCGGGAGGGAGCCGGAGCCCCAATCGGACACGTACCTTCAGCTCACAGTCCTCGTTCACAGCCAGGTTGCCGGGCTTCAGGTCCTGGGGTGGAGAAAGGTGGCTGGGTCAGCCGCCAGCAGGGGGGCAGGGGCAGGTGCCAGGGCAGGAGCCGGGGCAGCGGCGGGGCCTGGGCACAGACACACCAGGGAGGGCGGAGCTGCCCAGGCCCCGGGCTGTGTGCAGATTGTGTGACACCCTCTGACCCCAGAGTGCCCCCACAGGCGAGAAACAGGCTCCTAGCCCCGTGGTCGGCAAACTGCGGCTCTCAAGCCACATGCGGCTCTTTGGCCCTTTGAGCGTGGCTCTTTCACAAAACACCACGGCCTGGGCGAGTCTATGTTGAAGAAGTGGCGTTAGGAGCAGTTTAAGTTTAAAAAATGTGGCTCTGCCGGGACCGGTGTGGCTCAGTGGGTAGAGCGTCGGCTTGGGGCCTGAAAGATTTGATTCTGGTCAAGGGCATGGACCTTGGTTGCGGGCAGATCCTCAGTGGAGGGTGTGCAAGAGGCAGCTGATCGATGACACTCTCTCATCGATGTTTCTAACTCTCTATCCCTCTCTCTCCCTCTCTATACAAAATCAATAAAATATATTTAAAAAGTAAATAAATAAATAAATAAATAAATAAATAACGTGGCTCTCCAAAGGCATTTCAGTCGTTGTGCTGTTGATGTTTGGCTCTGTGGACTGATGAGTTTGCCGACCACTGTCCTAGGGGTGGATCCCCTCCAATGCCCACTGCAGGGAAGCTCGCCCCGCCCCCCCGGGACTCACCCTGTGAATGATGCCGGCCGCGTGGATGTACTGGGGGGACAGAGAGAGGCCCAGGTCAGCCGTGTGGCTCCCGGGCCCTGGCCGCCCGGGCCCACCTGGCCCCCAGGCCTCACCTTCAGCCCCTTCAGCATCTGGTAGACGAGGAACTGGATGCGGTCCTCGCTCAGCGTCTCGTGCTTCATGAGCTTCCCCAGGTCCGTGCCCATGAACGGCATCACCAGGTAGCTGAGGGCGGGGCAGGCTCAGACCCGGGAAGACCCCAGGCCCGGCCTCCAAGCACCTACTGCCCCTCCACCCGCCACCCCAGAATGCTAGGGGGGCAGGGACTGTGCCAGGCCGGGGGCTGGGACCCCGTGCCCGCAGGCGGGGGAGGAGGGCCCGCGGGGGTGGCGGGAAAGTAGGACCCCGGGTCTGAGGGTTGGGTAGAAGGGGACGGAGCGGGAGACAGTTAGCTCCCGGCCAGTGTGGGGCCTTGACCTCCGCAAGGTCAGGCGGCAGGAGCCGGTCCTCCCAGCCCTTCCCCGGCCAGGCCCCTGGCTCCTGGCCGACCACAGTGTGAGCCCAAGGAAGGCACCGCGCCGCTCCACCCCCGCCCCCGCCCGGAAAGGTCAGCAGCTTCAGTTATGGCCACACTCTGGGTGCCAGGGCCCAGGGGCCAGGTCCTGCCAGCTAACCAATGCCACGGCTTGCACCTCCCGCCCCGGAGCCAGCCTGGGCCAGCGGTGATGGGAAGAGGCCGTGCCCAGGCTGTGGGTCCCCGGGAAGAGCCCTGTGGTGTGAAGACGGGGTGGGCAGTGTGCACCCCGACCCCCATCCAGGCTACAGGGAGTGGCCTGCCTTCAGCCGGTCCGCACGCCAACCCAGAATCCGGAGTTGGCGCCCAGGAGCTACCCAATACCCTCCACCCCGCCCGGCCGGCCCCAGGCCAAGACTCACAAGTCTGTGAAGTCATCCAGGCTCTCATCTGGCGTGAACACGTCCAGCAGCCCGATCACCTGGGGAGGCAGCCGCCGGAGCGCCAGGTGGAACAGGGCCCCCGCCCCTGCCCCCCTCCCCGAAGGCTGGCACCGGGCTCCGGGCAGGAAAGCCCCCTGCAGCTGTCCCCATCTCCCCCCTCTGTCCACAGGGCCAGCTCTGCCTGCTGGCAGCACCACCCAGCCCTGGCACACCTGCCCGCAGATGCAGGCTATTTCGGGATGGTGACAGCTGGGATCCTCGGGGGGAGGGGCAGCCCCAGTCTGGATCGGCTCCGGGCCATCCCAGGAGCCCCAGTCCCGGGCTCGTCCTGCCCATTGAAAGTCTGGGCCCAGGATGGGGACAGCCTCCCAGGGGAGAGCCGGCATCGGCGGGTCCTTCCTCTGCTGGCGAGGCCCCGGCCGGCACCGTGCCCGAACCAGCCGTCAGACCCGGCCTGCAGACAGACCCCAGCCAGGGGCGACGGGGAGCAGGCAGGGACGGGGACAGCTGGGACTCAGGGAGGCCTGCACCTTTGAGCAGGTGGACGGGCCTGGCAGAGGCTGCACCTGGCAGAGGCCGCGGGGACGGAGGCGGCGGAGACGGGAACCCTTCGAGCACTTGAGGAACACGGGGAGGGAGGCCAGGTGGCCGAGGCCCAGGCCGGGAGCAGCCGGGCAGAGGCCGAGGGAGCCAGGTGGAGGCTTGGCTTCCGTCCTAGAGCCGGCGAGGAAGGGTTCAGGCCGGCGCGACACGAAGGCAGCGCAGCCCGGAGGGAGGCGAGGAGGACACGAGGGGAAGGGATCGCGAGGTGACCTCTGCGGCCTCCGGACCAGGGTCACGGCAGGGCAGGGGGTGTCCCGAGAGAGGCCTGGAGGCAGGGGAGGCCCAGGGATACCGGGGGAGTGTCCGATCCCTGGAGGTGAGGGGGCCGTTGGGCGGAAGGAACAGGAGAGTCTGTGCCTCTGAGGTGTGGATGGAGCCAGAGTGGGGGTTGGACAGGAGGAGGCAGCAGTGGGGGGAAGAGCAGAGCAGGTGGGTGTGGGTGGTGGCTCCTCCACCTGCCCTGCCCTCGGCCCCTCAGAGCCAGTCCTCCTCCTCCCTCCTCCCCGGAGGGTCCACAGGGCCAGCTCCTGGCTGGTGTGCTGTGGGCCCGGAGGCTGCAGGGCGCACCTGCTGGTGGGGCCGATCGGGGGCCTGGGAGGACCCATGGGCACCGGGGGAGGAGGCAGCACAGGCCCAGGGGAGAAGGCCTGAGTGGGTCCTGCCAGGGTGGGATGGGGGTGGGAGTGGGGGCGATGAGGGGGAAGGCGGACGAAGCCTTGGGTAGAAGAGTCTGCCCTGTGGGGGTGTCGGAGAGACAGGGCCCGGGCGTGCCCAGGTATGACGGGGAGACGGGAGGCCCAGGCTGGGCTGACATCCACCGTGAACAGACCTCACCTGGGAAGAGGGGACCAGGCTCCTGGGGACCATTTCCCGAGGGGAGGCCTGCGGCTCCCAGGACCCAGGAGAGGCCAGACCAGGTGTCAGGAGCACGATTAGCAGGGGCGGGGGCCCACCCTGCAGCCCTCAGACTGGGTGCAGATGGGAGTGAGGCAGGGTGCTGGGGTGGGGCAGGGACTGGGGGTGGGACAGGGTGCTGGGGGGACAGGGTGCTGGGGGGGCAGGCAGGGTGCTGGGGGGCTGGGTGCTGGGGTGGGACTGGGTGCTAGGGATGGGGCAGGGTGCTGGGTTGGGACAGGGGCTGGGGTGGGGCAGGGTGCTGGGGGGCAAGGTGCTGGGGGGGTCAGGGTGTTGGGGGCAGGGTGCTGGGGGGGCAGGGCGCTGGGGGGGCAGGGTGCTCGGGGATCAGGGTGCTGGGGGGGCAGGGTGCTGGAGTGGGTCAGAATGCTGGAGTGGGCAGGGTGCTGGGATGGGGCTGGGGTGGGGCAGGGTGCTGGAGGATCAGGGTGCTAGGAGGGCAGGGTGTTGGAGGGGCAGGGTGCTGGGAGGGCAGGGTGTTGGAGAGGCAGGGGCTGGGGTAGGGCGGACTCTTGGCCGCAGGGTTCTGTGCGGAGAAGCAGTGAGAGCGCCCTGGCAGGGCACCCAGCAATGGCACCAGAGCCAGGCCTCTCGGCCAAGGGTGGTGCCCGTGGGCAGGTCTGGAAGCGAGGGAGGCCTCTCCCTGGTGGGGCCCAGGTCTGCCTCCCCCCACCACCACCACGTCCATGAATCCCGGCCAGAGAGCAAGGGGGCGTCTGTGTGTTGGTCACTGTGCCCCGTGCCCTCCCCACACCAACTCCCCAAACCCACCCATCACCGGAGACCCCAAGGGCCTGAGGCGACAGGTCCACGCCCAGCCCAGGCCCCAGGTCCGCCGCTCAGCAGGGGAGGCAGAAGCAGAGAGAGGGCTGGAGGGGCCCTGGGTGGGGTTGTGGGCGGCAGGGGAGAGGCTCAGCGCCCTTCCAGGAAAGAGCTCCACAGGATTTGGGGCGACACCTGGACATCTCCTCCCCGGGCCTGAGTGCCAGAGCCAGTGGCGGCCCAGGGAGAGCCGAGGTGGGTCCCATCCTTTCCAGGGACGGGTCGCCCAGAGGAGAGGGTGCCTCAGGGGCCAGTGGGGGCCGGCGGGGCGGCCGGTGAGGGGTTGGTCTGGGCGGCTGTGGGGGCGCCGCACTCACGTTCTCGTGGTGCATGTGCTTGAGGAGGCGCAGCTCGCGGTAGGCGCGCTTGGCGTACAGCTCCGACTGGAAGGGCCGGTACAGCTTCTTGATGGCCACCCTGGCGCCCGTCCGGCTGTCCACGGCCGAGCTGCGGGCGAGCGCAGGGCTCAGCGGACGGCGGACCCCCGGCCCCCGCCCCGGCCCCGCCCGGACCCCGCCCGGACCCCCACCCCCCGCCCGGCCGCGCTCACCACACGGCCCCGTAGGCGCCCGAGCCCACGGGCTGCAGGTCCCGGTACTCGGCGCGCACCTCCCAGTCCGTCTTGGTCACCTCCTGGCGGTAGAAGCCCCTGCGGGCCGGCGGCGGGGAGCTCATGGGCGGCGGGCCTCCCGGGCTGGCCCCGTCCGTCCGGTGCCCCGTCCGTCCCCGTCCCGGCGCTCCCTCCGGCTCCGGAGCTCCCGGCCCACCTCCGGCGGGCGGCGCGCCCCTCCCTGGCCGCCGGACCAACCGGCCCCCGGGCCGCGCGCACGTGACCCCCGCCGCCTCCGGCTCCAGCCCCTCCGGGAACCGGGCGGCGGCCGGAGAGGAAGGAGGCAGCGGGGGGGAGGGGGGGCGGACACGGGGAGGGCGGCTCCGGCCCAGCCTGAACCAACTCGGCGCCCGGACCCCAGCCCGTCTGTCTCCACACCAGGCTGGACGCCCTGCCGGGTCCCGGTGTCTGGGCTCCTGTCTCCTCCTTCCTAACCAGGCCCCTAGGGAGCTCCGCCCACGCCCCCCGCCCCCACCACCGCGCCCCACCCCGGCCCCCAGCACACCCCCTTCCCCGGGGCTGGTCCTCCATCCTCAGCTGAGGCTCCCCAGCACCTGTCTTGGCTGCATCCCCTTTTCCGAATGGGGGATTCGGTTCTGTCTCCCAAGCTTAGGGTGCCTCCCCAGCACCTCTCCCTGCGATCACTGACCCCAGGCCTCCGACTCAGAGCCAGAGAGGTGGTCCCTCTGCACCCCCAGCTCCCGCTCTCCTCCCCCTGCATCTGGAGAGTCCTCCTGCCCAGCCACCCCCCCACCCCCCACCCCCAGCCAGCTTCCTCTCTCCTCTCTGTCCTTCAGGGCCCTGAGCCTCTCCTCCTGCTCGGGGCTCGGGACAGTGTGCCTGGCCCAGGGTGAAGGGGGCCCCATGCCAGCTCTCAGCACCCTCTCGCTCCCCTGGGTGTAGGTCAGACCCCGTCCTGGACCAGACAGGGTTTGGAGGGCAGAGCCCCCGGCCCGGTGAGCCGGGCTGAGAGGGAGGGGGTAACAGGATCCCAGGGCCCGCCGTCCGCCCTGCCCGCCACCATGAATCAGCAGCTCAGCGCCGGCCAGCCAGAGCAGCTTTACACCTGAGTGCCTGCCTGCGGGGATGCTGAGCCCTCAGGACCTGGATAAGCTCCGTGGGGGCAGCCTGGGGCCCCAGAGCCAGCGCCGCCTGCACCCCGTGCCCTCATGCCTTGGCGCCCGAGGCTCTCCCGTCTCCTCCAGGAGCCCCGACTCCCTGCAGGGGGCCCAGGGGTCCAGTGGGGTTCTCAGTCGGACCAGACCCCCAGGGAGGCACGCCCAGTTCTGCTGCTATCTTCTCCCCACCACACACACACAGGTCTGGGCACCCCTTTTTCTCCAGGGGTTCCCTGGGACCTGAAGCCCCGAGCCACACTGCCCAGGCCCTGGAAGTGCAACTCCCAGATGGTCCCAAGGCCCAGAGGAAGGGCACAAGGTGTCTGCCCCGAGACACCCTGCCTGACACCCCCCTGGGCCCAGGCCCAGCCCACCTGAGCCACAGCAGCTCTGTGTGGCCAGGGAGCTGAGTGACCCTCTCCCCGTAGCCAGGAAGGAAAGCTACGTCCCCCACTCCACTGGGTCCCAGGCAAGGGCCGGCCTTGGCTCCCAGACAGCCTCACCTCTCCCCCCGGCCTCCCTGACTGCCAAAGGAGGGCTGGTCTTGATCTAGACCAGATGCAGGGTCCACCCGGGGGAGGCATGGTGCCCCCCCGCCCCCCCCCACACACTGAGCCCATTGGGCCTGGGCGGAGCAGGGAGGGCACTGCCCACAGAAAGCTGCTTGTCAGACGGGAGACCCAAGGGAGCTGGCCAGGGCAGGGACAGGGCAGGGCCGGGCGGGTGGGGGTGTGATGCAGGAAATCCAGCCGTCGTCCCAGGCAGCAGGCCATGGGCAGCACCTGGAGCTGGGGACACACACTAAGCGAGAAGAAACCTTTTTTTTTACAATTATTTATTTACTTATTGTTTATTGATTTCAGAGAGGAAGGAAGAGAGAAACATCAATGATGAGAATATCTGATCAGCTGCTTCCTGCACGCCCCCTAGTGGAGATGGAGCCTGCAACCCAGGCATATGTCTCCTCACTGGAAATTGAACTGTGACTTCCTGGCTCAACCACTGAACCACACCAGCCGGGCAAGAAGAAATGTTCTTTAAAATGTAGGCGCCCCCGACCGGAATCGAACGCTGACCCCTTAGCCCACAGGCTGACGCTCTCTCCACTGAGCCACACAGACAGCGTGAAGAAGTGGTCTTTATTGGGACACCAGATGCAGGCACTTGGCCCTTAGCCGCCCTGGGTCACTCGAGGTAGGAGGCCGCTGTCTGGCACCTGACGCCTCCGCGGACAGAGGAGGCTCACCCTCCTCCACGCCGGGAGCAGGTGCCTGTGCCAGAGGCTGCAGTCAGCTCCGTCTGGAAGGAGGGAGGGTCAGAGCGCCCCAGCTCCGCAGCAGGGCCAGGTCCAATCCAAGCGCCTCGATGTGGGCCAGGCCCTTAGCGCCCCCAACCCCCGTGACTGCAGCTCCCCGGCTGGTGGTGCCCTCAGGCTTCAGAAGCCAGGAGAACGCCACGGCTTTTGCTCTCGCGCTGTCCTTGGCCCACTGAGCCCCTCACGTGGTGCACGGCAGGACTTCAGCACCCTCCATGCCAGCAGGCCCTGGGGAGGGAGGGGAGACAGGTACAGCCACCCCGACGTGGGCCTCTGCTCATATCGACTCTAGCCCCGGGTGCCCCTAGATTCCCACGTGTGTGCCTTCCCATGTAAATGCCAGGAACACGTATCAGGGCACGTGTGCCACACAACACAGGAAACACGTGGTTCCGGGCGGTCCGATGTGACACTTGGTGGCTGTTCCTGCCCTGCCACCCGCCAGGGGAGACCAGCTCTCAGGCCTTAGGATCTCAGCATTTCCCAGGGCAGCCCCCCCACTTCTGGGCCAAGCAGCTTAGACCACAGAGTCCTGCCCTTCGAGTCTCCAGGGGGTCCTGGTCCCAAGGCACCACCCCCAAGAGACAGCCCCCTGCAGGGGAGATCTGGGGACAGACACCTCCCCAGGGGACCCCTCAGGCACTCAGGTCTCCACAGCGAGTCCAAGGGAGACGGAGCCTGGTTGCCGGGATGTGGTAGGAGGACACTGTCCAGGCTCCTATGCCCGCGGCTTGCACACATTCATGCATTCGTATGTGTGCGCAGATGCTCACAGGGGCGGCATGCAGGCCAGCGGTCCCAGACCAGGGCTCATGTGGCGGGAGGCAACCCCGGTGGAACCCGGCGGGCTGCGGAACCAGAACCGGACCGGAACCGGAACGGGGTGGGCAGGCTCCAGAGTGGCTCACTGCTCCACGTCCAGGTCCAGGCTGCCCGGAGGCTGCGGTGGCCCTGGGGGCTTGAAGCTGAGGACTTCCTGGTAGGTGAGCTCTGAGGAGTGAGGGGAAGGTGAGCCCCTGCTGCATCCCCCCAGGACCCTCCCCCCCAGGGCACACCAGCCCAGACCCACCGCCATCGGAGGGCAGCCTCGGCCGGCAGCCTCGGCCCTCGGCCCTGCCAGAGCTGCCCCGTGCTGCCCCCTGCTCTGCTGGGTGTGCCAACCCATCTCTAACCGACTCCTGGGGTTGGCGGGGAGATGGGGAGGCGCGCTGTCCCCCTCCCAGACCACCCCTGGGTGCCACCTCCCCCCATTTCCACTCCTCCAGGGTGCGCTCCTTGGCCTCCACGCTCTCATCGTAGGGCTCGGCCTCGGGCTCGTCCTCGGGGTCGTGGTACTGGCTGAAGTAGGCATGGGCCAGGGCCTCGGCCGCACTGAGCCGCTGGTCGCTGTCCAGCACCAGCATCCTCCCCAGGAGGTCCACAGCTGCGGAGCGGCCAGGGAGGGGGCGGTCAGCCCCGCACCCGGGGCCGGGCAGACGTGGCGCCCAGCCGGGGCCCGGGGCCCGTTCTCACCCAGGGGGTTGGCGCCACGGAAGATGCTCCTGAGGTCCTTCCCGGGCATGGGAGGCAGGGACTGGATGTACGTCCGGGCCTGCGGGCACAGGGGAGGGCCTGAGGGGGCGGCACCCCACCTCCCTTGGCCCTGAGCCCCCTTACTCACTCACTCCTACCAGCCAGGGCGAGGGCAGATCTGGGCTGGTGCTGCCCTCCTTCCTTGGCCAGGGCACTGCCCTCACTGTCCCTCATGCCAGGAATGTCCTCCCCATTCACGTCCTTCCCCCTGAAGGGCCAGCCCCGTGCTCCCCATGCGGCGCCTGGTCCAGCCCCTCAGGCCCTTCCTCCAGGCACCACGGCCCGGGCAGCAGAGGCCCCGGGGCTGGTGACTCACGTGCTCCGAGGAGATCTTGGCCAGCACCTCAGGGCTGGGCGTGCCCACCACCTCCATGATGCGCTTCAGCTGGTCAATATCTGCCTGGCTCAGGAAAGGCATTGGGCCAGGCACGAACCCTCCTCAGGCCCCCAGACCCCAGATCTCAGGGACACTGCCCAGAACCTGCTCTCCTACAGCCCGGGACAGCGAGCCCAGGTGGGGGGAGAAGAAGCAAGACTAGCCAGAAAGGGCTGAGCCATCCCCTCACCCCCCCCCCCAAAGGAAGGGATCCTGGCGCTCAACCCTCCCCCGCACCTGGGCCAAGGATACAGTCACTTCCCGGGAAGAGAGCCTTTCCTTGGAGCAGCTCAGCCATGATGCAACCCACAGACCAGATGTCCACTGTTGGGGAGGCGTCTCCATCAGCGTGCCCACCCCAGTCCCTCCTCTGAGAACTGGGGGACCGTCTGGACTGCGCCATCCCGGGTCCCCTCCTTCTCCAGCCAGAACCCTCTGAAGGTCTGTTCCTGAATGCTGGCCCCAGGCCTTGGGTCCCCAAGATTGGAGCTCCCAATGTCCTTGGCTTTGTCCCCACCCCACCCCCAGGCCCTGGCATGGGCTCTGCCCGGCCGCCCCACAGGGCTGACGTCACCTGTCTGGTTGTAGTGCATCCAGTTGAGCATGATCTCAGGGGCCCGGTACCAGCGGGTGGCCACGTAGCCCGTCATCTCCTCGTCTGCCTGGCGCGCCAGCCCGAAGTCCAGGATCTAGAGCGGGCACCCGGGTGGTCAGCGCCCCCTGGAACACCTCCTCCATGCCCGCCGCCCCCACGCCGTGCCCATCCCGCACGCACCCTGAGCTCGCAGTCCTCGTTCACCGCCAGGTTGCTGGGCTTCAGGTCCTGCGTGCGGGGTTAGGGTTAGCGGGCCGAGCGCAGGAAGAGCGGAGCGGGCGGCCCTGCAGAGCCACCTACCCGGTGGACGATCCCGGCCGAGTGGATGTACTGCGAGCGAGAGAACGGAGGTCAGGTTCCCGCCGCCCCGCGGGCACGGCACGCCCCGCCCCCCGCCCACACAAGACCCCGCCCGCCCGTGACCACGCCCCGCCCACCCGGCTCCACCACCACCTCCGCCCTCTGTGAACCACGCCCACTAGACCCCCGCCCACCGACTACGCCCAATCAGTGACACGCCCAGCCCCTACCCCCGCCCACCCCGGCTCCACCACCTCCAGCCCCGCCCATCCTGCGGACACGCCCTCTCGAGCCCCGCCCACCAGGCCCCGCCCACCTTCAGCCCGCGCAGCAGCTGGTACACCAGGAACTGCACGTGCTCGTCGCTCAGCGCCTGGCACTTGACGATGTTGTTGAGGTCGGCGCCCATCAGCGTGGTCACCAGGTACCTGGCGGGTCGCCCGGTGTCAGCACCCGCCCGCCGCGCCCTCCCCGCCGCGCCCCGCGCCGCCCCCCGCGCCGCTTACACTTCGCTGAAGTCCTCGATGGACGTGGCCGGCGTGAAGACGTCCAGCAGCCCGATGACCTGGGGGGTCAGCGTGGGGTTCGGCCCAGCCCGCGGCCCGCGCCCCCCCGGGAGCCCCGCCCCGCCCCGCCCCGGAGCCCCGCTCACGTTCTCGTGCTTCAGGTGCTGCAGCAGCCGCAGCTCCCGGTAGGTCCTCCGCGCGTGGACCAGCGACTGGAAGGGGCGCGACAGCTTCTTCACCGCCACCTTCTGGCGGAGCCGCGCGTCGTAGGCCGAGCTGCGGGCGGCGGAGGGGGCGGTGGCTGAGACCTGGGGGCGCCCGCCCAGGGCCGTCTGGGCCGAGGGCGGTCCTCCCCTCCTCAGCCTCCCCTGCCGGCCCTCCGCCTGGCTCCCCTGGGAAGCCCTGGGGGCCAGGCTGCCATCCGGGGTTCCCAGGGCCTCCGGTCCTGCTCCCTCCTCCAGGAGCGGCTCCCCCTCCCCCCACACTGCCTTCCCTCAGCCTTCCAATCCCAGAGTCCTCCCGGGAGCCCAGGGCCCCAAGACCCGGATGGTTTGCCCCCTCACCCCCAACCCAGAGGAGGCCAGGATGGAAATGACGCACCAAGTGAGCAGCCTCGGCTGTTCACACAGCAAAGGGCCCCCCAACCCCTCCGACCGTGAGTCCAGGAGAGCCCAGAGCTGCCTCCAAGGCCTCTGGACATTGAAACATTCCCCACTCTGCAGAGTGAGGAGCCAGGCAGACAGAATGCCCAGCGGAGCATGGTGTCTGCATTCCCCGTGCCCAGCCCCAACCCCAGAGGCAAGACCCTCCACCCCACCCCACCCACCCCACCCCACCCCACCCCACCCGCTCTTCACAGGGAACTCAGCAGCCCCTGGCATCGTCCCAAATCTCAGCTCTGGTCTAGTCACACACACACCTACCTGGCCCTCCCCCCCCTAGCATGCCTCTAGCGGATGCTCCTCCCTCCATCCCTCCATCCTCCCACTCCATCTCCCCTCTCTGGGATCTGCTTCCCCAGAGGGAATGGAATCCAGTGTTTGGAGCCGCTCCTGGGAGACCAGGGGTCCCTGCTCCCGAGCCAGGTAGTGGTGGGGAAAGCCAGGTGGGAGCCTGGGCACCTGTGCCCTCTCCCTAGCCCATCACTGCAGGGGGAGGTCCAAGTCATTCCTCAGTTGGGAGGTAGGGGATGACCCCGCCCGCCAGGTGGGGCAGCAGATGGTTTTGCCTAATCGTGTCTGTGCCGCCAGGTGACCGGGGACCAGCCTGAGTAGGCAGCTTCACAGGTGAAGGGGAGCCCAGGAGAGCCCTCACCTGCTGGCACGTCAGGCTGAGTGCAGAAGAGACCCAGTGACCCTCGGAAGCTGGCTCACTGGGAACTCCCAGGAGACAGGCCTGGGCGGGATGTGCTTCCAGCAAGGCTCTGTCAGATCCCTGCCTCCCCCAGCCACCAGCACCAGGCCCTGACCCCCTTCTTGCCCCGGGAGAGGCCTGTGGCCAGCTGGAATGCCTACAAGGGCCGGCCTGAGGTTCCTGCCTGCAGCCACAGGGTGAGCTCAGGGGCTCCAGGGACCTCAGGCCCCTGCTCCAGGATCCAGCACTGGGCCTGAGGCCTGGCTCACTCCTACTTCCAGCCAGAGCCTTGGGCAGTGACATTTGTGCGCTCCCCTCTCCCCAGGGCCGCTTCACCCCCACCTCCAGAACCTCCACCTCCAGGACCCCTGCAGTGGACAGCAGCCACCTGGCTCTGGCCTCCCAAGGAACCAACCCCCTGGGTGCTGGGGGAGGGCACCTATCACATCCACACCCAGTCAGCCTCGCCGTCAGCCTGGCAACTCACACGACTTCCCACAGCTGCCTCACTCCGGGCCTCTGCCTCCCCACCCCCAGAGGGACAGGCCTCAGGAGCCTGGCCCTCCTTCTCCTTCCAGAGTCTTCCTCTATCCGGGCCCAAGGGCCTCGCTGCAGGGCTGTGGTCTGAGCTCTTATTTGAAGCAAAAAAGGGGTGGCGTGGGGTAGAACCCTCTAATTGTAGGGGTCGTGGTAAGCACCTTTGCTTAGGGCTACCCCCCCAGAAGTCAGAGACCCCTTGCAAAGTGGAGGGAGGGCACAGGCCCCCCAGGGCCATCCTAAGGGGAAGGGTTGCCCTCTCTCCCTAGCTAGGCTTTTCTTGTTCAAACAAAAGTACCCAACCTAGGGCGGGGCCTCTGCCAGACCCTGGGGCTGCTAGACCCTGGGGCTGCCTGACCCCGGGCCAGGGGCGCCCCAGAGGCGTGCTCGGACCTTTGGGGGCCGGGAGACCCGCCCTCTTGGGCTGTGACGCCGCAGGCTTCAGGCCCCGTGGGGGCAGGCGGGTGGCCCTTCCCCCCGCCCGGAGCGGGGTCTGGGAGGAAACTTTGCTCCACGCCCCCACCCCCGTGCATTCCCACGGAGCCTCGCAGCGCCGTGGGCGGTGCAGGGCGAGGTCCCACCCCGCGCCCGGAATCCGGCCGGGCAGGTGGAGGGCGCGCGGCCCCGCCCAGCCCCCCGCCCCGCCCCGCCCCGCCCGCCCCTACCAGACGGAGCCGTAGGCGCCCGAGCCCACCGGGCGCAGCCCCTGCAGCCGCTGCGGCACCTCCCACACCGTCTTGTTGAGCTCCTGCCGGTAGAAGCCGGCGCGCGGCCCGGACATGTCCTCCCGCGGCCCCGCCGCGCCCGGGCGCACGGAGTGCGGGGCGCGGGGCGGGGCCGGCGCGGGGCTCCCGGGGAGAGGCGGCTGCAGGCGCGGCGGAGCCGAAACCGGCCTCCTGGCCCCTCCCGGGCGGTCCCGGGCGGATGGGCTGTGCCGGGGGAGAGGGAGCCCGGCCCGGCCGCCAGCCCCGCCCGCTCCCCCCTCCAGGGCCCGCGCGCCTCCCCAGGGATGCGCCCCCGTCCCGCCCCCGCCCGGCGCCGCGGGTGGAAGCCCGGCTGCCGCCGCCTTTCCCAGGACTCGGCTCCCCGCACCCTCCCCGCTGGCGCCTCCCCTCGCCCCACCTCCCGCCCCGCACCCCGCCCCCGGCCGCTCCCTGGAAATCAGAGATGCCGGGCAGCCATCGCCCACACAGGAGACCACCGAACACAGCCAGCCGCCGCGCTGGGCAGCGGGCACGGCGCCTGGCCCTGGGCCGGCCGGGCCTCCCTGCGGAGGCCGCTCTGGACGCGGCGGGCGGCCGCCTCCGGGCAGACAGACCTCGCCCAGCGCCTCTCCGGGGCCAGGCCTTGGGTTTGTCAGGACCAGGGACAGCGGCGGCACCAGGGGGTCGGGGGTGTTGTGCCCATAAGAAGCTTTCCCTTCAGTGGGCAGAGCAGCGGCCTGCGGACTGAGGCGTCCCTGGTTCGGTTCCAGTCAAGGGCACAGGCCCAGGCTGGGGACTTGACTCCTAGTGTGGGCCGTGCAGAAGGCAGCCGATCAATGATTCTCTCTCATCATTGTCATTGATGTTTCTCTCCCTTCCTCTCTGAAATCAATATATATATATATATATATATATATATATATATATATATATATATATATAAATTTTTTTTAAGAAAGCTTTCCCCGAATGAGTCTTCTTCGGTGCCTGGTACCTTCCTTCTTTTTGAAACAACCGCCCCCTCCCCCTGCCTGTCACCTCTTTCAGGAAGCCCACCCTGACTTGCCTAGATACCGAGAAGGTCCCAGGGCTGCCAACACCTCCTGAGCCGAGGTTTACTCTCTCGGTTTAGTTCCCTGGGGCCAGCAGGCGGGCACCCCCATCTACCCAGCACCCACGGGTGAAGATAATGCATGCCATGGGGCAGCGGGTAGTGGCTGGGCTGCCTCTCCCCCCAGGAAAACGGGAAATTAGGCTCTTGCCCAACATCCTGGTTTTTTTTTTTTTAAATCCTTCCTTACTGATTTCAGAGAGGAAGGGAGGGAGAGAGAGAAATATCAATAAGGAGAGAGAACCTACTGGGGATAGAGCCTGAAACCCCAGAATGTGCTCTGACGTCCTGCTTCATAGGTCAAGGCTCAACCACTGAACCATGGCGGGCTGGCCCAAAGGTCTGGTTTTTCAAAACAAGTTAAAACCTGAGTTTTTGCCCTAACAGTTAGCACTTTCTGGTTTGGCTCAGTGGATAGAGCGTTGGCCTGGGGACTGAAAAGTCCCAGGTTCGATCCCCAGGCACGTACCTTGGTTGTGGGCACATCCCTAGTAGGAGGTGTATAGGAGGCAGCTGGTTGATGTTTCTAACTCTCTATCCCTCTCCCTTCCTCTCTAAAAAAATCAATAAGGTGTACTTTTTAATAAACAAATCCTGAGATTTTTATGGAAATAACTGATTTTTAAATATTGACAACCAAACAAAAATAAAGCATATGAACACAGTACCAGGCAAACGGTCACTCTGCCTAGAGTAATGGTCGGCAAACTACGGCTCAAGAGCCACATGCGGCTCTTGGGCCCCTTGAGTGTGGCTCTTCCAAAAAATAACACGTGCGATTGAAACTTCGGTGTTCGGCTCTCAAAAGAAACTTCAGTCGTTGTACTGTTGATATTTGGCTCTGCTGACTAATGAGTTTGCCTACCACTGGCCTAGAGAACCCGACCTCGGAATCGGGCCGAGTCCCAGCGCCAAGGCCATGACCGTGGCCAGTCCTGCGCCCCAGGAGCCCCCGGCCGCCCGCTCCCGTTCCCGCGGGGAGCGGGGCCCCGCCCCTGGCCGCCCCTGGGGTCCGCTCCGGCTGCGGAGGGAGGTTTGTGCGGAGCTAATGAGGCTGCAGCTGAGCCGGGGCGGAGCGGGCCGGGCTGTGGGAACCGCCGCCCAGCCAGAGGCCCCTTTGTCTGCGCCCCGCGCGCCAGGGCGTTCCCATGGCGACCGCCCCGCCCCTGCGCTGTTGGCGGGCAACCCCGCGCTCTCCCCGGGGTCCGGGGTCGGGTGTCTGCGGTCCTTGCCGCCTGGAATCCCACGGGTGGGCGGTCCCGGCTGCCTCGCGTGGAGCAGCCTGCCTGCCCGGCTCAGCGGGTGGGGGAGTGGAGACCGTCCTCATTCAAACCGGCCCGGCACACCGCCCCCCCCCCCCCATCCCCGGGGGACAGGTCCCCACCTGCCTTCTGGGGAGGATCTGGGTTCTCACCTGGAGAGGTGACCTAGGCAATCCTGGCTTTTAGGGCTCAGCTTGGCTTCAGGAACAGAAAGGCCATGGCCATTGTGGCGGGCTGGGTGGGGCATGATCAGATTAAAAAGATTTTTTAATTGAGCCGAAACCAGTTTGGCTCAGTGGATAGAGCATCGGTCTGCGGACTGAAAGGTCCCGGGTTCGATTTCGGTCAAGGGCATGGACATTGGTTGCGGGCACATGCCCGGTAGGGGGTGTGCAGGAGGCAGTTGGTGGATGTTTCTCTCTCATCGACATTTCTAGCTCTCTATCCCTCTCTCCTCCTCTCTGTAAAAAATCAATAAAATATATTTTTTTTAAAAGATTTTTTAATTGATTTCAGAGAGGAAGGGATAGAAACATCAATGATGAGAGAGCATCAATGATCAGCTGCCTCCTTCCTGCACGCCCCCCTCTGAGGATGGAGCCTGCAACCAGGGCCTGTGCCCTGACCTCCTGGTTCATAGGTGGACACTGGACCACTGAGCCACGCTGCCGGGCAGATTTCCGGTTTGTTCTCAGGGAGCTCGGCTGGATGTGGTCAGTGTCATCAGGCCACCAGGCCCAGGCTCCCTGTCCAGGTGGGATGACTGAGTGGTGAGTGGTGTGGGGCATGGGCAGCAGCCGTGATAGGATCACGGTGTGAGGGTGGGGCTGAGGGAGGAGCCCTGGCCTCCCTCCGCCCTGTGTCACCCCTGAAAGTGGAACCAGCCCTTCCCTCCTCTTCCACTGGCCCAGGTCACCCTCTTTCCAGCCCCAGCCAGTCTGGGTGCACTTCCCTCTGAGGTCACAGTGAACTTCCTAAAATGATCATCAGTCTGTCTGGGGTGGGGTTCATGCTCTTTCTTTCTTTCTTTCTTTCTTTCTTTCTTTCTTTCTTTTCTTTCTTTTCTTTCTTTCTTTCCTTCCTTCCTTCCTTCCTTCCTTCCTTCCTTCCTTCCTTCCTTCCTTCCTTCCTTCCTTTCTTTCTTTCTTTCTTTCTTTCTTTCTTTCTTTCTTTCTTTCTTTCTTTCTTTCTTTCTTTCTTTCTTTCTAAAAAAGTTCTTTTTTAGCCGAAACCGGTTTGGCTCAGTGGTAGAGCGTTGATCTGAGGACTGAAAGGTCCCGGGTTCGATTCTGGTCAAGGGCATGTACCTTGGTTGCGGGCACATCCCCAGTAGGGGGTGTGCAAGAGGCAGCTGGTCGATGTTTCTCTCTCATCGATGTTTCTAGCTCTCTCTCTCCCTTCCTGTCTGTAAAATATCAATTTAGTTCTTTTTAAAAATATATTTTATTGATTTTCCATAGAGAGGATAGAAGAGGGATAGAGAGCTAGAAATGTCGATGAGAGAGAAACATTAACAAGCTGCCTCCTGCACACCACTTGCTGGGGATGTACTCACAACCAACGTACATGCCCTTGACCGGAATCGAACCTGGGACCTTTCAGTCCGCAGACCGATGCTCTATCCACTGAGCCAAACCAGTTTCAGCTAAAAATATTTTTTAAAATTGATTTTACAGAGGAAGGGACAGAGACAGAGAATTAGAAACATCAATGAAAATATGGATCAGCTGCTGCCTCCTGCACGCCCCCTACTAGGGCTTGAGTCCACAACCAAGGTACATGCCCTTGGTTAGAACTGAACCTGGACCCCAGTCCCTCTCTCCTCCTCTCTGTAAAAAATCAATAAAATATATTTTTTTAAAAAAGACTTTAAAAAAAAAAATCTATCCACTCAGCCAAACTGGTTAGGGGGGTTCATGCTCTTAATAAGCAAGTGGGGTATAGCCTGCCACTTGGGAGGAAAGCTCGAGGTTGGATCCTCCCTGGAGACACCCTGACCATTCAAGGTCTCTACCCTTCACCACCGAGACAGGACAGGACAGGGACCCCTCCTCTCCCCAAGAGGGTGGTCCTTCCCCCGTCTCCGAGCTTCAGAGCGGAGGGGGGAGGGGCTCCCACTGACTCCTCCATCTTTTGTTGGGGTTAATCCTCACCCAAGGATATTTTCCCGCTGATGTTTAGAGAAGTGGAAGGGAGAGGGAGAGGGAGAGAACCATCGAGGTGGAAGACACGTTGGTTGGTTGCCTCCTGCACGCACCTCAACCTTGGCTAGTGATAGAGCCTGCAACCGAGGCCCATGCTCCTGACCAGAATCGAACCCTTGACTTTTAAGTCCCAGGACGGGTGCTCTATCCACTGAGCCAAACCAGCTGGGACGCTTCTTAGCATCTTGTCCTGATGGTCCCTGGGAAGGGGTAGCACTGTCCAGCTGGTCTTAGCATCTTGACCAGCTGGTCCCTGGGAAGGGGTGGCACTGTCACTTCAGGGGTCCCCGGGGGGGATGTCAGCTGTTTTCCCAGTACCCCTAACTTGTGGGAGACGCCACCCTTGTTCCAAGTGGTTCCAAGGAGCCACCCACCCTTGTTCCAAGTGGCTTATGATTAAGGCGTCACCTACCGAGACTACCCAGGGGTGTGCCCATGTGGAGGAGACACAGGCTGGGGCTGCCCGCCACCTGCAGCCCTGCTGCCCCAGGATAAACCAA